ACAACACTGGTTAACTCTCTTGTCAAATAATATGGGCGACAACTTACTGCCAAGAGTTCAACATCTGGGCTGCAGAGATGACATTTCACTGAAACATGACCTGGATGGCACCATTTGTTGTTGACAAGCACTGCCACTCCACCTCCTTTTCTTTTCCCGCTCCTCTTCAGATCTCTGTCTGCTCGTACAGTCAGGAATCCTGGCTGAGAGACGCTGGAATCAGGGATACAGCCCTGCAGTCACGTCTCAGTGAAACACATAACACTGCACTGCCGAAACTCTGGCTGAGTCCTTGAAAGGGCTTGGAGTTCATCCATCTTGTTGGCCAGTGATTTCACATTGCCCATTATGATCGATGGAAGACATGGTTTGAATTTCCTCTTTCTCTGTCTCCATTTTGCTCCCGCTCTGCACCCACGCTTCTTGCGGTTTAGCTCATTTGGGATTTGTGGCTTCAGTTGAGGTATTATTTCAGCCTTTCCAATGTTAATCAGCTGCTCCTGATTGTAAACCAGCTTGGTGCCATGGTTGCACTACAAATGCTCAAAAAGCGAAAAAAGTGAAAAAAATGCAGTAAAAATCCTCTAAGCTTCACAGCACCAGAAACAGAAAAGTAAAATGTCCAAAAATATATCTTATTTCTTGAAACTAGAAGAAAAAGATGTCCAAAAAAAAAGGCAAAACTTACATATAGTCAACAGAGCTACTCCAACATGCAGCCACCCAGAGCAGCGCAGTTCCGGAAGGTCACAAAACACACAACATTTAATGGTGACAAGATCAGTATACAGAAAGATAATGTTTTATCTGTAAAGTTTACATCTTGGATATGTGAAAATAACTGTATGATTAATAATCAAAATTTTAAAGCTAAGCATTCAAATCTACATCACAGTGTACGTAAAAGAATATATATATCACTTTTAGGATAATACAAAAATAAACTTTTGCCAGTATTTGTGCCACTATTTTTTTTTTCCATAGTGAATATTTATGTTTTTTACTTGGTAAAACTGTAAAAATTAAAGGAATACATATACATTTTCAGACCATTTTATTTAACAGTCTGATTTTTGGGTACGGTATTTACATTTTTCACTGTAATATTCACAATGATGACATCCATGTTTTACATTTTGTTACTGTTAAAAGTACTGTATGTTTTAGGTGATTGATAAACAGTAGTAAATCGAAAATTCAAATGTAAAAAGCATGAAAAAAATTGTAATTCCTACAGAATTATTATGTTAATTTAAAGGTGCTTTGTTGCAAAGAATAATGTGGAATTTTCTTGGGTTTTTTCAAAGAACATGTGACATTTTACTAGAAATTATTGGGGTTTTTCTCAACAAGGTGACAGGATTAGTCTAAAGAAAACATGTTTGATTTGTAAATTTTACATTTTCGATATGTAAAAATAATAGTATGGTTAATGATACACCAGTTAAAGCTTAAAATTCAAATGTACATCACTGTCATCTGCCCTCAGCCGCTTGCCTGCCATGCACTGCCACCTCCCATGTTCTTCTATCTCTTGATCACCCTCAGTAACTCTGGCATCTTCGTCTAAGCTCATCTCCCTCCACATCTGCTTGGATTTTCCCCTGGCTCACACCGACCTGACCTCAACCCCTCTGGAAGCCACTCTTCATTTGGAAACCAAAAGCTGCAATTAACCACTCATCTGATCAAGATCACAGCCTGAAACCTCTACCTCCTGTTTGTCTGACGACGACATTCCCCCCTCGCTTTTTCCAAAGTCAGTTTTTGTCCGCTGCACTTTTTAAAACAAAAACAATATTAGCCTTTAATAAATAGACTGGCTGTGTATAGGACAAAGAGTTCAGCTAGAATCTGATGTAAGTGAGCTCTATTGATCAGATATTCAAAAACAAAAAAGTGTAAAATGGTGACAATGAGTAGGAATGAAAATGACTAACAAGATGAAAAGCAAAGTTGAATTGAAAGTATTAGATTTGTTTTACTGCCAACTGTTTACTTCACAGTTCTGCATTCCTTACAATGCATAAAAGAGCCTCTAGGCCAGGGGTCCCCAATCCTGGTCCTGGAGGGCCGGTATCCTGCATGTTTTAGTTTGAACTCTGTTTCAACACACCTGATTTCAATCAGCAGCCAATTAACAGGCTGCAGAGCCTGATGAGCTGCTGCACAGGTGTGGCATACTTAAGACCCCCTCCCCCCCATGCTTGTGCCCCCCCCCCCCCCCCCCCCCCCCACACACACACACACACACACCACTCCAATTCTAAAGACAAAACTATGTCCATGGCCGTCACCGTGCTCTGTTTTTTGGTGATGCCTTGAGCGCCGTAGGTGCGCAGCGCACCGCGCACGGATCCCTAAAGATGCGCACATGGACACTGCGCAGCTCTTATTTTTCTTATTTCTGAGATATCATATGAATCTGCTATTTGAATATAGTTTTGAACTTGATATAGTCTTGAACATGAGTTCCTGTTAGTTGAGGGAGATGGAGCATGCGTCCAAACGCATCACGCAGCATCGCTGCTCTCCCCAGCTCCACACGGGCGATGTGGTACTCCGGTGTGGCGATCGCTTCTGTCTACGGGACCATCAGCGTGCTGGGTCTCATCGGAAACATCACGCTCATCAGAACGTTTTGTTCTGCCAAATCCATCCGCAGCGTACCGAACCTCTTCATGTCCAGCCTTGCGCTCGGGGATGTCCTGCTGCTGGTTACCTGTGCTCCGGTGGATGCCAGCCGCTTCCTCTCTGAGGAGTGGCTGTTCGGTAGAGTGGGTTGTAAAGTCCTTCCCTTCATTCAGCTCACCTCGGTCGGGGTGTCTGTTTTCACGCTTACAGCCCTCTCAGCTGACAGGTAGGCTACTGTTTCCGTTTTATCACCTATAAAAAAAACCGAATCCGTTTTCTTTTTATTTTGTAATTAACTTTGACTGTTGGTGTTGGAACAAATAATCAAGGCCAGGCAGATTTATTATTTAGCACATTTAGAGGTAGCTCAAAGGGCTTTTCAGTTACAAATAAATAAAAAGCAATTAGCGACAACAAAATACAGTACATTTTAGAACCAACATTGCAACGTAATACGTTTCAAAACCTAATTTAAATTGAAAACACAAATAAAATTAGATAAAAAAAGAAAGTTAAAGAAAGTGGAGAAAGTGCAGCAAAGAAACAATCTTCTCAAAGACTGATGAATATGTCAAAGTTATCTAATTTTTTATTTTAAAGTTACTATTTTGGGACACATTAGAGTTCATAAAGCTGATTCCATCTGTGTCCAGTAGCTAAAAGAGCGTCACCCTTTTTGGTTCTGATCCGGGGTTCTGACTGAAGGACCTCAGAGCCCTGCTGGGAATACTGCAAGGAGATCTGACATGTATTTGGTCCCATGCCATTAGGTGATTTATAAACTATTAGCACTTTCAAATCGATATAGTTTACTGGTAAGCAGTATTGAGATTTAAGAACAGGAATGAGGTGCTCGGTTCTTTTGGTTCTTGTTTATACTCTAGCAGCAGCATTCTGAATAAGCTACAGTTGCTTCACAGATTCTTTGGGGAAGATCAGACAAAAAAACATTGCAAAAGTCCAGCCTGCTGGAGATGAACGCATGAATGAGGTTCGCTGGATCTTGTCTAGATACGAGACCTCTGAGACTTGCTAATTGATGAAGATGATTAAATGCTGATCTAGCTATCCATCCATCCATCCATCCGTCTGCTTTTCTGGAGTTGAGTCACAGGGGCAGCAGCCTAAACAGAGAAGCCCGGACTTCCCTCTCTCCAGCCACTTGGGCCAGCTCTTCCAGGGGAATGCCAAGGCATTCCCTGACCAGCGGAGAGCATAGTCCCTCCATAGTGTCCTGTCTTCCTTTAGGTCTCCTCATTGGACGTGCCCGGAAATCCTCACCAGGGACGTGTCCGGGAGGCATCCTAATCAGATACCCGAGACACCTTTGGCTCCTCTTCATGTGGAGGAGCAACGGATCTACTCCCAGCCCCTCCCAGATGACTGAGCTTCTCACCCAACCTCTAAGGGAGGGACACCCTTTGGAAAAAACTAATTTTGGCCAATTATATCTGTGATCTTTTGGTCACTACCCAAAGCTCATAACCAGGTAGGAACCTTGATTGACTGGTAAATCAAGAGCTTTACTTTCTGGCATGCTGATCTAGTTATAGCCTTCATGTTACTGGTGAAGCTCAGGTCTGAATTAATTCTGACACCATTATTTCTAACTCTTTACCCTTGCTAAGGAGATGGAGGGGACAGGAGAGTTTGCACAGCAATCCACATGTGTTTTGTGGATTTGGAGAAGGCCAAATGACCGTGTCCCCAGGGGTTCCCTATCGAGGGTGCTCCAGGAGTATGGGGTGGATGGCAAGGCTCTCGATTTACCGGTCGATCTATGTCCCAACCCTCACCTATGGTCAGGAGCTTTGGGTAATGACTGGAAGAACGAGATCATGGATACAAGCGGTTGAATTGAGTTTCCTCAATTGAGGGTGGCTAGGCTCAGCCATAGAGATAGGGTGAGGAACTCAGACATTCGGGAGGGTCTTGAAGTAGAGCCACTGCTCCTCCGCATCAAAGAGCCAGTTGAGGTGGTTCGGGCATCTTGTTAGAATGCTGCCTGGATGCATTCCTGGGGTGGTTTTTTTATGCAAGTCCTGCTGGCAGAAGGCCTACGGGTTGAACCAGGACATGTTGGAGCAAGTACATCTTCAATCTGGCCTGCGAACGCCTTGGGGTCCTGCCAGAGGAGCTGGTGGAGGTGGCTGGGGAGAGGGCTGTCTGGGATGCCCTACTTGAGATGCTACCCCCGCAACCCAGACTCGGATAAGCGGAGGAAAATGAACAAATGATTTTAACCTCTGTCTTTGTCTTCATTTCTCCGTTGCCAAGTTGAGCAATAACTTCCCTCCTATCCCTCTTATTTCCAAAGACAATAACTTCAGTCTTGTCTTTCCTTATCTCCATATCAGCTGCATAACTATGGATTCAATGTTATTGTATTTGACATGACCCAGAAAGAGCATGTAGAGATTAAAGAGTAGTGGTCCAAGTATCAAACCTTGGGGGACCCCACATGTCATGGTGATCTGCTTTGATTTGTGATCACCAATGGAAAAAAAGTAACCCTTATCTTCTATGATCTGAGCGAGCCCAGGTCAGAGAGAAAATGTAATCTCTCCAAGTTCTGAGTCCGACCCAAGGTCTCCCACCATCAGAAAAAGGTGACACCTTGATCAGATTCTCAGACCACCTCAACTATCTCTTTTTAGGAAATACCCCCATCTGTACATGCATTTATGTAAAAAAAAAAAAACATAAACAAACATAAAAAATGGCGTATGTATTAACATTTTGTGTCCAAAATCATATCTACTAGGTACAGGGCCATTGTGAAACCCCTGGACATCCAAACTTCATCCACCACCAGCATCATCCTTCAGGCAGCCCTTATCTGGATCTTCTCTCTGATCTTGGCCATCCCTGAGGCTGTTTACTCTGACCTGCACACCTTCTTCATCCCCTCCACCAACGAGAGCTTTACCACCTGTGCCCCGTATCCTCACAAGAGCCAACTACATCCTCAAATTCACTCTATGGCTTCCTTCCTCATTTTCTACATTATCCCCCTGGTGGTGATATCTGTGTACTACACCTTCATTGCCCGCAGCCTGCTGAACAGCACCTCTGATCTTCCTGGGGAGGGCAATGTGCAGGCAAGACGTCAGGTTAGTGATTAGAATTAAAACAAGAGCAGCACGCCAGTTCATCATAATGTTTAGGAGAATTTAGCATGAATCCACCTTTAATTACTACTCTAGGCTGATCATAAGAGTGTGCAGAATTTTAAATATTCCAAACAAAGGAATCGGCCTATCTAATGCACATCATGTTTGTTGTTTCTATCATTACATTTTTTCTAATGACATCAATGTTGACCTCTGCCCTCTCCCAGTGTTTTGTTTTGTTAATGCAGAATAATGAATGCAGAACATATTTTTATTCACCAACATTTTGAAACTGCTTTTTCTAACAGGTTGAATCCAGAAAGCGTTTGGCCAAGACAGTTCTGGTGTTTGTTGGCCTCTTTGCAGTTTGCTGGCTGCCCAGCCACATCATCTACTTGTACCGCTCCTATCACTACAACCAGGTGTCAGCACGCTTATTTTTAAAACTCATTAGCATGCTTCACCTTTATTTTTGTGCATAATTAACTTTTTTTATAAATAAAACACATAGGTCAACATTCACAGATTACATTATTTACAACAACAGCGAACTTAACAGTTGACATCACCGCCCAAGTGCTGCTGGGTGCTAATGCTAGACAAACAAATCGCATTCGCTGCATACAAAAACACATGCAGAGCACTTGGACGCCGATAAAAACAAATGAATAGAAACAAAATTTTAATTTTTGTGCTCAGATAGTTTCTCTTTACTCACAGTGCTCAAGTAACATTTTCTTAAAGTACTTTTAATTACCATTACTTGGGTGATTATTTGTGTTACTCCTTTTTACATCCCACCCACCTCTGGTCAAAAGCCTTTTTCATCCATGTTTGGATGGACATGCTGTTTGGTTTAGACATTCAGCTGGCTCCTGGGTAACTCCATAGCTGAGCATTGCTAGTATCGGCTCATCATTCTAAGACGTAGGACTTTTCCTATCTGCAGAACACATATACACACACCCCTCTATCTGCTCTACACTGTGAAAATCCGCTCTTCCGCATAAGTACTGCTACCTCTTTGCTTTGTCTATCTTTATCTTGGCATGTTCCCTTTCCAGCTGTGTCATGTTGCCATGAAGCTTTGGAAAAGGGATAAAAAAAGTCTCCTCCCACATCCGATCTGGGTATCTATAGTCTTATTTATACAAGCCCCAACATCGGTGCTTCTTTCCTTCCTGTTTGAACATGTTTAAAGTTAAAGTCCCATTATTCGTCACAGCACACTGGTGAAATTACATCTCCACATTAGACCCAGATGAGCACAGAGAGACAAAACTACAACTTTGTGATGATCAAAGTGACTCAGGCCTAGTACACACGTAGCCGTTTTTTTTTAAAACGAATATCCGCCCCTCCAAAAACTTGCATCCACACCACCTCGTTTAAAAAATAGTCTGTCCACACGTACCCGGATAAATACGTTGTTAAGGACATGCCAAACCTGTAGGCGGCAGTACTTCCCCTGCTCTTAACCTCGTCCTTCGTCTGTGGTCTTCCGCAAGGAGCAGTAATTCCGCTTGCAAAAACAAACAAGCAAAAAGCGCTTGGACAATTGATAAAGCGAGCGCAGCTCTGAGGGCATCCATGCTGTCGGCTAGTGTAAACACAGGTCGCACACGTGATGTCAGCATTTTTTTGTCGCGGAAAGTGCCGTTGCGGACCTTAAAACTCCGGTTTTGTCTGTCCACACGCAGACACCCAAAACGGAGAAAACGCAGATCTTCACTTTGGCCGGAGTTTTTAAAAAGATCCGTTTTCGTGTGAAACAACTCTGTTTTTGTGTGGATGACAGGCCAAAACGTAGAAAAATATTTACGTTTTGGCAGATCCCCGGCTACGTGTGGACAGGGTCTCAGACCCAAAAGCACTCATAAAAAATGGGCCACCTCCCTGAACGCATTGCAACATTACATCATAATTAAATTTTAGCTACTGTAATGTATGCTATTAGCATTCTTCACACAAATCAAATGTGTGTAAGAGTTGAGTTTACACAACTTAATCCGATCTAACAAATACGTTTAGAAAGACAAATTAAAGAAGATATTTGGTAACTCACAACTGTTCTTATAAAAATTAATTATTATATAAATTAAAGACCAAAATTATTTCTGTTGTTCATGAACATGGGGCATAATACGTGCCAGAAACATTCAGTGGCATTTGTTTAACTTTTTTGTTTTAGTCCATGAATTTATGTCTCAGTGTAGCTTGAACTTAATTATTAGTTTAGCTGTTTAACTTAATCCAGTTTTATTTTATGTCGTTTCAAAACCAGAATGAAAAGCATTGTGTTCATTTCAGATTGATGTAAACAAAAAGCTAATTTTTCTTTCTTTTAGAATTCTAAAGTGATTCAAATAAGCAGGTGTCATTAATATTTTAAGAAATGTGATTTGCTAATTTTGAAAGGAGCCAGTACATTAAGTTCTGCATTAGGAGGTTAATGACTTATATAGAAGTCCAAATCCAGTACAATAATCCACCTGAACGATGTCTTCCAGGTGGACACCTCTGTGGTTCACTTCATTTGCAGCGTTGCTGCTCGTATTCTGGCCTTCACCAACTCCTGCATCAACCCATTTGCCCTTTACCTGCTGAGCAAGACTTTCAAGAAGCAGTTCAACCAGCAGCTTTGCTTTTGCTGTCGTCTGGTCCTGAAGCACTCCCCACAGAGCCCGACACATCACAACACACGCATGATTTCCATCCACAGCACACGACACTCTGTAGCCAGTCTGACCTTGATTAACAGCAGGCAGGCCTGCCAAGAAGACCACGTCTAGTGTGTGTGTGTGTGTGTGTGTGTGTGTGTGTGTGTGTGTGTGTGTGTGTGTGTGTGTGTGTGTGTTGTGATTGTGCTTTTACATGTGTGTGGTGACTTTCTTGTGTCCATACGTAGTATAGTGCAAAAAGTGTAAAATATTGAAAATGTTTATTTTTCAGCTGATTTATTATTTGCGTACTTTAAAATGATCTCATTAAGAAAACTTTATTTATTAAAGCCGGATATGAGATCAGTGTAGTTTGTTTGTTGCTGAACCAAAACCTGAGCTCAGGCATTTTTTTTTCGATTTTTCTTTACAAAGAATGATAATAACTTACTCTATTATTAAAAATGGTTTAACAATAATCTAGCTTATTTCGGTGCGCTCTGTGCTGTCGGTATTAAACTGATGTTTTTGTGGATTATTAAGTAAAAATGTCTTACAGGTATTTTTCACTGTGATCATTTCCAGGAGCTGTAGAAGTTTTTGTGTTAGACCAATTATTCTAAAACACAAAAATAAAATAAATTAATAATTTCACCTCACTTTTACCTCTGTTTATTTGTCAGTATGCCTTTAGGTTTGCAAAAAACTGAACCTGTGTATATTTCTATATTGAATAATGATGTAAAATGTTCTGTCTGGTGTTGTGTGTTTAGCACATTTCTGAACATCCGATGCTGATAAAATGCTAAAATTGCACCTCCACTGAAGCAGTTTTAAACGTTGTTGGTCTTCTGCTTGTCAAAGCCTTATAAAAAATGTGAAGTGTTGATAATTGCCCCAACTCTTGTGTTTATGTGTACAACGTCGACCGCGACATTTTATGAAACAGACACAAAAGAAATGTTTGCATTACAGTTTTTCTCAGTTGTTTACACACATTTTTCTGGTACTTGAGACAAAATGACCACAACATGTAACCTATTCACCAACCCCCTTAACCAATTCTGCTAAACTACAAGCATAATTCCTGCTTTGCACTCAAATTGCAAATCTAAAACACACTTTTTTCAAAACACTACACACAATTCTCTGCTGTTGGCACAATTTTCATGCAGAAAGTATCTTGTTTTCACAAGGAACACACTTCCATACAAATATGCACACTGACTCATCACAAGGGCAAACACCCATCACACAGTTTCACAATCAGCAATCAGAGCTTTAGCATAAAAGGGCAACAGGTGAGCTCTTCTGTTTTGGATCAATGGATCCCAACAGTGGAAACAGAGGCAGAGCCAGAGGAGTGAGCGTAAGAGGAGGAGGACGAGGACGAGGAAGACCAAGGACCGTAATCTCTGATGAGATCCGAGCCACTTTGGTTGATCATGCAACCATCGTCTTACAATGAGGGAGGCTGGGCAAAGATACAGCCAAAGTTGAGCAGGTACACTGTAGCATCCATCATCCAGACTTTCCAAAATGAGAATAGGTAAGAAATCTTCTCTCACCAGAAAATGGCAGTACTGCATATCAATACAATCAATATTCAATGAGTATAGTAGTAGTATTGCCTGTGGACTGTTTTGTTGGACAGTAAAAATACTGTAAAGTATGTTTCCAGTATTTAGGAAATGTATACCTACTTTGTATTCGTAGTATTTTACTATTTGTTTGACCGAACTGAAAGATTACCAAAACGAGGAGGTCGGGAACGTCTTCTGTCTCCTGAACAGGAAACTGAAATCATGAACATGGTCCTAGAAAACAATGCCATAACATTACGGCAAAAAAAAAAAAAAAATTATAGAAAACAACGACAAGTTTCAAAATATTGACAGTGTCAGCTTATCAACACTGGACCATGTCTTGTGCAGATATCATCTCAGGATGAAGCAGGTCTACAGGGTACCATTTGAACGCAACTCAGAAAGAGTCAAAGAATTGCGATATAACTATGTGCGTCCCACAATTGATGCATACACTCAACACTGTGTACAGTAAACTATACATATTGTAATCATAATGATTGTGCTTCACAATAGTGACCACTCCATGTATTTGTGTGCTCAGAGTGTAAAAACAATATTCTGAAATATTTTACAACACATTTATGTATATACTGTCTGTAGTTAGTGTAACACAGAACCAAAAAGGCTTAAGTCATTATGATGAATGGAGAAGACGTGTTTTCCATTCATCATAGTGTTTAACATTGAGCGCATAAGTGTCCGGCTGGTTTTTATAAATGTCTATTCATATGATGGTTTGTGTGTGTCATTTGACAACATATCACATTGTGAGGAGAAATAACATTGTTTTGAATGTGAAGTTTCATTTTGCAGGTTAATTGAGGGGTTTTGTCCAATGTGTGTGTTTTTTAGATCTGTGTGTAGAGTTCTGAGAATATGAGGTGTGCTTTCAGAAAATGTGTGTAAACAACTGAGAAAAACTGGGAAGCTGAAGAGGCTGTTGCTTGTTTACTCCCATCTATTTTAACCTTGTTATTTTATTTTACCACCACCTCTTACGTGAGCTGTCTGTAGTGAACGCAAACTCCATTCCGTTGTAAATCTGTGCAATGACAATAAATAATCTTAAATTTTGAATCTTTCAGGTTTTTGTCAAAGGATTGGGCTACATTAGGCGTGTGTGTGTGTGTGTGTGTGTGGGGGGGGGGGGGCAGATTTTTTTTTCTGGGAGTTTGAGAACAAATAAATAAAATCCACACAAAATCATTAAACATCAATAGAACTCCGTCATATCTTCACTCATCACTTCCAACAACCAGCTCAATGTACGTTCCAGTAACTTAATCTCCATGGTTATTCCTAAAGCTCGCACCTCTTTTGGCCACTCCTCATTTCTTTTTGCTGCTTCCAACGACTGGAATGAGTTGCAAAAGTCACTAAAGCTCACTACTTACATTCTACAAACATTTCTACCTTCAATAATTCGTTGCAATCAATAGTTTCTGATGATTGTGCTTCTGAGTACTAAAAGGCTGTTTTAAGCCTGTTTGATTGCTTATTATAAAGTTGTATTTATGCCTAACTGTTATCTTATTTAGATCTTGTATGTTTTTATCTTATCTGTTTTTCTTTGATGTAAAACTAACTACGTGTCTGCTGCTGCTGCCTCTTGGCCAGATCGTCGTCGTAAATGAGAACAAGTTTTCAATCGACTCCTCTGGATTAATAAAGGTTAAATAAAATAAAAAAGATAAATAAATCTTGGGAGGTTTAGCTTAGACACATTCCTTAGGAGGACTGAAGGTTTTAGGTTTGCTGGTTTGTGTTTTTTATTTTGCTTCCATTTTTCAACCACTATAAAATAAAGCTGCTGATTTAAAATCTGCTTGGCCATTTATTTGGGTTAACAAATAGCCTATTCCACCTTCTCATGTCTCTAACATGCCGCTGAACAACTAACTAAATTAATCTGCCCCTGAATGTGATCAGAGATGACCCTTTTTATTCCTTTAATGTTTTTTCTTTATGTTTGACATTGCACAAAGACAAGCTAAGGCTTTTTCATGTTTCCCAGTTTCATCTGACTCTCTCTGATTCCACTGGCCATCTCATTTATTTTAAACTAGTGGTATTTTATCGTATGATGTAAACCAATCACAAGTGGGACTTGTAAAAAGGGGAAAAGAATAAAAAGGGAGAACGATAATGAGCTTTTGGTTGTACCTTTAGCAGGTCTTCGCCCTCAGAGATGATTGTGTTTATGAACGGCGTAACGCGATGACGCTCATCCAATAAGACGCGACGCATTAAAAGATATTTTTAGCTTTCCAAGAAAAGAAAGGGAAGCTGATTTCCAACCAGCACAGGTTTACTAATGTCCAAACAAACGGAGAAATTACTCAATTTATGAACTGGAAACTGGAACATTATCCACAAACAGCAGTGAACTGAGCTGTGTGGAGATTTCTGTTGTTTATGAACTGCCTTAACATTAAACATCCGTATTATCAGTGTTTAGACTTAGAAGTTCTTCATCATCATGTTAAGATACTCATCACTCTCACCTTCATCGTTCTTCTCTTCATTCTTCTCACTCTGACCACAATGCTCATCAACATCATCATCATCATCTTCATCATTGTCATCATCCACGGCTGCTGAAGAAGGTCCTGCAGCAAATCTGTCAGTGCTTATATTTATTTAGCACATTTGGCAGCATCTGCCTGAAGGGGTCTTTCTTTTCTTGGCTCCTGATTTCTTCACGGCTTTGTTACCATTTGACATTTTGGCACTCTGACTTTTCAGCAGATGCTCTTTTTAACGGAGGCACCGAAAACCTTCAGGGGCAAGGGCGTCAGTTTGTTTCCAGAATTGCTGGGGACAATAACCATACACTTGAGTGGGGTTTAAAAATTGCTGGGGACAATAAAGTAGGCTAGCACAGGGGTCGGCGGCTCTGGAGCCGCATGCGGCTCTTCCATCCATCTGATGCGGCTCTGTGTTTGTAAAATAATGAATGGATATTTAAATAAAATGCTTTATATTTTACTGCATTAATTTTACATCTGTATGCCAATTCTAAATGTAAAGATTGTCTGCGTAAACCTGAACAGGTCCAACCTGGTCTTACTGTGAGACCGGGTTGACGCGTCACGCTTGTGCGTAATCATAGGCGCTTTATTAGCTGAAGACGATGTGAGATTCTGGGATTCTCCTCAGACGGCTCCTGGATGTGTCGCCACATTGGAGACGGGAACAAGCGCTATTCAGCCAAAGTTTCATCATCAGGGAACATTTTCTAAGTGACAAGTCTCTCTGAGAGACCGGGTTTGGAAAACACTCGCTTCAGTGGGAGGAACCTTCCCACATGCGCTCTGGGTGGCTCTGGGGTTAATCAAGTTTAATTGTTTCTCTTTGCAACAATCTTCACAAGAAGGCAAAACAGTTAAACGGCAGGTTACATATATTTCCATTTGACTGTTTATTTTGACAGATGAACTCAAGGATGTTGCTTGGTTTGAAAGAATTACCCCCACGCACACTGATGCACATGGATGAGCTGACATTTTAATCGTTAACGCACATCGCGGAGGTAAAAGATTCCCATCAGAACATCAGAGCTTTATACTGGACACTGTGTTCAGCGCGGCTCGGAGCGCCCACGGTGGACAGTGAGCTGAAGATCTGAGGGGTTCGCAGCGCAGCGCAGAACCATGGTGCATGCAATGATTTCCTCCCACTGAAACAGTCTGGAAACCCGGTCTCTCTGAGGGATGTGTCACTTGGAAAAATGTTCTTTTTATGAAATTATGAAACTGGCTGAACAGCGCTTGTTCCCGTCTCTAATATGGAGACGCATGATGCGTAGAGACATTTGATCACGCACAAAGTTCGTGTGGAGCAGAAGCGGTCGGGCCACGGCAGGTGAAATGTTCCTAGCCTACATGAAGGGAAACTGTTTAATTGTAACATTAATACGTTACTGGACACGCTGGTCTGGTTGGTTAGACCAGTGTTTGAAGTGGAAAACACACACACACACACACACACACCAATTAAAATAATGCTGATAGCATGGACTAGAAGCCAGGTGATGGTTTACGTATTTAAATGATGATCAGGCTGCTGTAAAATGTAATCTCCATCCACATCCAGACAGAATCATCCTCTATTCTGTCTCTATTTGCTCTGCTCTTGTCTGGGCTGATCAGCTGATGGTGCGCCTAACTAGCGGCTGATGCACATTTTACGCATTTGGAGAGGTGGGTTGGATGCTGTGCGTTTACTGGAAGATGGTTAACGCACGGGTGTAGACTACATATTAATGACAAATAAATGAAAATTAAATTGTGAGTTTTTACTTCATATTTTATAAATAAAAATGACGGGGGAAAACATTTATGACGTCTTTTTAAACTAAATTTTCTAGCGCGACCTGCCTGCTTCACTTAAGTCACTGCTTATTAAGGTCCGTCCAGAATTACTGTGGGAAACGGGTAATAATGGCTCTTTGATGGGAATAGGTTGCCGACCCCTGGATAAGATCTGAGCTGGTAAAACAAAAATCCTCATCAGCAGGCGTTTTTGAAAGTGGGGGGGACACAGCTGCCAATCACAAATTTTGCCGGGGACATGTCCCCGGCGTCCCCGGTTAAAATGACGCCTATGTTCAGGGGTATCATTTTATGTATGTGACTGGGTAGACGCAGGGACCTTTTATAGAGAACAAGTCTTTTCTGCATTGGTTGTTGGGCTAAAATTACAGTGATGTCAACTCAAAAGGCTCATTGGGTGACAGGGAAATAACCGAATGTGCTAGAGGTCCAATCACAACCTAGCTCGGCTTTCTGTGAGTTTGACTGCAAAAATGTACAAATGAAACAATCAACATTTTTCCAAGTATTGCCTGACTGCCCGTGGACATTGAACGTAGCTCTAAATGTGTTTCTCCTGAGTCTTTTGGGTTCTTATGTGATCAAATAAAAGGTGTAACACTTTTTCCTCAATTTCCACACGTTATATTTTTACTTTTTTGATAATGTACTCTATCTACTCTACAGTTTTCTACAAAAATCAAAGGGAAACACTACAAAGATATCTGTTTATGATTTTTGACCACATGCACGCCTGTGTGACATTTTGTAACTGTGCAGGATTTGTAAAAGGAAGGGCACTTTTTAAGCTTAGACTCCACAGTTTTAGCAAGACTTGAAAACATCACACAGGTGCAGACGTGCTGTCTGAAAGTGTGACCCAGGACCCAGGAGATATATTTGTCTATCACTGGCTGTCGGGTCTGGTCCAGCAGAGTGGACTGTTTGGAGATAATAAATGGAAGATGCTCAGACTTCATGTTGTTGTTTTTTATACTCTTTATGAACTCAAACCACATCCAACAACAAGCAGCCAAACTACAGATGTTAAAGGTAAACTCATATTGTGCTCACACCCAGTTGAAGTCTTTCTATATCAGTGAATTGGGGCACACACACACACACACACACACACACACACACACACACACACACACACACACACACACACACACACACACACACACACACACACACACACACACACACACACACACAAACATACTAACCTCCTTATGCTGCCAACGATGCACACACAAAGTGAATGGAGTAAGTATTTTTTTAATAAATGGCTAATGTGGTATTTCTCTTATTTTTATTCAAATGAGAAAATGGGGTTGTGGCGCAGTGGTTAGAGCTGATGCCTTGCAGCAAGAAGGTCCTGGGTTCGCTTCCTAGCCTGGGATCTTTCTGCATGGAGTTTGCATGTTCTCCCTGTGCATGCGTGGGCTCTCTCCGGGTACTCCGGCTTCCTCCCAAAAACATGACTGTTAGGTTAATTGGTCTGTCTAAATTGTCCGTAGGTGTGAGTGTGTGTGTGCATGATTGTTTGACCTGTGTGTCTCTGTGTTGCCCTGCAATGGACTGGCTCTCTGTCCAGGGTGTACCCCGCCTGATTGCCCGTTGACTGCTGGAGATAGGCACCAGCCCCCCCGCAACCCCACGTAGACAAAGTGGGTTCAGACAATGGATGGATGAGAAAATGGAAAATAACACGATGGTTTAAAAAGAAATGGAGTGAACTTTGCTTGCACATTTTAGTGTCCTTTCACTGTCAGATATTGTCTTTGAAATGTGTGCAAAGGCTTTACCATCAGCATCTGAGTGAACATATTCTTAATTATTTGATCTTTAAGAGAGAAGAAGAATCGCCCAGTCCTCAGTGTTTCTGCTAGACTTTTTCTTTTTAAGGAGATTTTGATCTGTGGTGGTTGGTGTCCTTGGACAAGTGTCAAAGCGTATAAACAATGTCAGAAAAATAAAAATAACATGGGACAACAAGTAAGTTTCTTATTGTTGAGTTTTTCTGCTTCCTGCAGATGTTTTCTTTCTTAAATGAAAAGGGATGAACGTTGTGTTTTTATTACAAAACATCTGAGAAATTCTGCACAAAAAAAGTACACAAGCAAGGTCTGTTTAAAAAAAATCTGAATACGAAATTAAAGAAAAACCATAAATCTTATCAGAGCAGGCAGCTCATCACAAGCTTACACACTTCTAACAAATATGACATAATTTAGACTCTGACTTTTAAATAGGATGCTCAAACTCAATAATCCAGCCAATTAAAAAGAGAAATACAACAAACACTTTCCTGTTTACGTCATTGATCCACAGCCCTGCTGTGGAAGGAAATTGATATGTCAATACCATCTAGCAGCAGAAAACATAAAAAGTACAAGAATGAATGTTTCTGTTGAGAAGCTCCATTTACAGCTTGTTTTGTATTCAGGGGAGCAGCTTTGTCTCTAGAGGAGACATCTAAACTGGGATTGGAAGATTGAAAGATTGATTGGAAGAGTAGATGTAAGATCTCAGAATTGTGTACTGAAACTAATTTCCCTCTGGATTAATGAAGTATCTTTGAATTGAATTGAATTATGTCTAGGATACTGGTTTCATGGTTGTAGCATAAATACTCTGATGTTGCAAAAGAAAAAAGTACCAAGTGTGAAACAGTGTTCAGCTAAAATGAGATAATTTTAAAGATGTTTCAGCAGCAGCAGCCTTCTCAGACAAAACAGGCTGGCTTTTTCATCATTGGTGGTGTCTGGGTCGGATGGCCGTCTATACGGGCCATTCCTACCTTTACCAACGGAGTGCGAGTCTGGTCCAGCAGTAAGGTGGACCAGTTCCAGGTGAGAACTGGACTCCAGTGCTTCCCTGTTTTCACCAGTTCTGTTCACAACGTTTATGGACAGAATACTTAACCACAGCTGCAATGTGGAGGATGAAGCAGCTGGGGAGAGGATCAGACCAATATTCTCACCTGGAAAATGGTGGATAATAAAATTTGGGTCAGGGAGGTGTCTTACCTCAGGTGGCAGGGGTTTAAATATCTCTGGAACTGGACTTGATGATGAGGTACTATGAAGTATGAGCAGCAGTAATAATGTAGAATGAGTTCAAATCTGCATCTTTAATGTTTTTTTTCTGAATCAGTGCTGTTTTACATTCAGGGCTGTTGCAACAGCTAAAATCAAAGACCTGACTTAAACCACAGACCTCTTAACTTTGTTAGATCACACATTAACTCTCCATGTAACACTAAAGTGCAACATTTCTGATTTAGATTTCCCAAATTGAATTAAATTGAGGTTTGTGTGCTACTGTGAGTTTTATGCTAAATTATATTATTTATGTAATTATATTTATGTGTAAAAGTAAACAAACGGTGGGCTACGTTTTAAAGAATAAACATCAGTAACTATGGAATTATGAAAATAACTTTTTATTAAAACTACACATTCAGTACACAAAGAACAAACACACAAGTCAGTATTTTTTGTACACTGATTAAAACCTACAGAAGACACATTAACGAAGATCATTTAACATGATCAGATGAGTTAAAGCAGGAATTCAGTTTTTTATGACAACCCCATCTAGAGGTTGAATAATGTATTGCACCTTTTGTCACATCCATATTTGCGGCAGAAAGCAACACCAACCATGCATCGGTCTAGGTACGTCCTCATGCTCTGTGAATGACATCTGAAAGTGAGTTGTGTCAGGTGTATGGCGTTTAAAGCGTGCCACAACCCGTGCACGCGCCTTGGGTCCACAGCGCGCGTGTGAACGGGACTCGCGAGCGCAAATATACATGGCAGTGCGCGTGTGAACGGGACTCGCGAGCGGAAATATACATGGCGAGAGGTCATTTGTGCACTGAGAGGGAGCAAACTGTGTCTGTGAGCGCACAAGGATGTGCACAAGTGACAAACCTGCGTGCGCGCGTTGTCAACGAGCACACGGCAGAGGAAAACGTGCCCGCGCGGCAGCCTCTGTGTGCGCGCTCGGCAGCCTCTCTGCGCGCTCGGTTTCTGACTCCTGCTCGCTCGGCTGTAAGGGCTTTTGGCACTCTGGAGGCGTGGCCTGTGGCAAATCTTCTCTGTCCTCTGATTGGTTAGTTTACCCCGCACTTTACCCTCTATCTATATAAAAAAGTCTGATATTCAGTAGTTGCTGGCATAGCTCAGCTGGGAGAGCGGGTGACTCTCGCCCCGGAGGATCCAGGTTCGAGTCCAGCCAAGGAAAATGCAGTAGATGTCATGTTATTTTTTCTTAATTTCAGGTATTTTACAGTTGTGACCGTTCAACTGTCATTAAACGTCCGAATGTTTGCTGGGCAGTGTTTTAAAAAGTGCACATAAGCTAGATGGTTTTAACAACAGAAGAAAAACACAATTAAACACAAATGAAAACCCAATGAGACGGTGGGGGCATCACAACACGTTCAGGACTACCCAAACACCAGTAATTCTTGACTGCACTGATCTGCTTTAGTAAATCCTTACTTTGGTTAAATAAATCAGTTGTTGAACCCCCACTCCTCTGTTTGGTCTCCTTTCTTATTACAGCCCACCACTTCCAGTCTGGGTTGTAACAATCTGCAGACAGATTTCTGAGCATCTCCTCCTTTGGTATACAGATCCTCACTGAGCCAAGTACTGTGAACAAATAGTTTCTCCGTGATATTATCCAGCAAGGTCTTGTTTTTGTCAAAACAAGGGTGAGGTAATGAAGAAATAGAAATATTTCAATAAATTAACATTAAAATTATTTATTTGCATAATAAAAAAAAACATGTTTTGAAATATATAAAGTGCACCAAACTTGACTCAGTCCATTCAACAATTCTAAATGGACAATTATGTAACTCATCAATTAATTATTTGAAAGGATAATTTGTCAATTAAATGCTGAAAAAAATAAACAATACATTAATGAGGCAAGAACTTTTTAAACTTGAACATACCTACACCCACAAGTCTATTTTTACCTGGTTAAAACCATCTAGCTTATGTGCACTTTTTAAAACACTGCCCAGCAAACATTCGGACATTTAATGACAGTTGAACGGTCACAACTGTAAAATAATATCACAGGAATTAGGAAAGAATAATATGACATCAACTCTATGTTACTTGGCCGGACTCGAACCTGGATCCTCCAGAGTGAGAGTCGCCTGCTCTCCCAGCTGAGCTATGCCAGCAACTGCTGAATATCAGATTTTTTTATATAGATAGCTAGAGAGTAAAGTGCGGGGTAAACTAACCAATCAGAGGATAGGGAAGATCTGCCACAGGCCACGCCTCCAGAGTGCCAAAACTCCTCACAGCCGAGCGAGCGGAATTAGAAACCGAGCGCGCAGAGGCTACCGAGCGCGCAGAGAGGCTGCCGCGCGCGCACGTTTTCCTCTGCCGTGTGCTCGTTGGCAACGCGCGCACGCAGGTTTGTCACTTGTGCACATCCTTGTGCGCTCACAGACACAGTTTGCTCCCTCTCAGTGCACAAATGACCTCTCGCCATGTATATTTTCGCTCGCGAGTCCCGTTCACATGCGCGCTGTGGACCCAATGCGCGTGCACGGGTTGTGGCACGCTTTAAACGCGATACAGGTGACACATGAGCTGACCAGAAGGGGAGGAGACTTTCTCCTACCAGACAGGAAACTGCATGAAACGTACTTCACTGCAATTAGTCGACATTTTAGTGAAAGGGTTCCTGCCCACCGCTTATGTTTCGAGTCTTTTTTTTTTTTGACGTGCTACATTTCCAAAACATGTCAGATCGGACCAGACAGGAAGTCAAACACAATAGCAGTATAAAACGTCCAAAAACTTTCTAAATAAAAAGTCACGTAGACTTCCAGTTTCCCAACTATTAGGAAATTTATGTCATTACCTGTGATACCGCCATAGCTGAGGTAAACAAAACAGAAAATAAACTACAGACCTTCTTCGATACACGCTCCTTGCTTGTTATCGTGTGGACTTCCGAAGTCACGTGTGGTATTGTAATTCTCCCGTGATTTTGCGACCTCGTGGGACCAGCTATGTGGAATGTTTCGGCTTCCATTTTGTGTCTGAATGGCTGTGAGTTGGAAGGGAGCTTGCGGGGAAAATGCCTCTATGACATTACACGCCACTTTTGCATCTTTTGGAAAGTCTGGGTTAGGCTCCTTATTGCCTACATTATTTCACAGCACAAGGTAAGCCTATTACTTTTAAGGAATTAAAAAAAAAACATAAATCCTGAAAAGGAAAAACTCCAGACTGAAGTTTTATTACAGTGATCTCCATAAATAGTACTGAAAATAAATTATAGGAAATTATTTTCTCTGTTGCTGTTTTAAGATGAGCAACTTGTCAATAAATTTAATCCCTGGTGAACTTCTACTTGGGTGGTCTGCATCTGTTGAAAAAAGAGGGAGATTTTTTCATGAATGATGAAATCTACGTTGACGTAAACACATTAGAGTACAGATCATCACCTCATCACAAATTTGTCAACCTTCATTTTGCATTAACTCAGGAAGAAACAATGCGTTTGTGTTTTCTTTTGACCTACAGAGAAGCAGGTTTGCTCCTAATGTGATGGACGCTGAAACCCTTAACCCTAACCTAACAGCAGCTCTAAACCCTAGCCCAAAGCCAACAGCAACATTTATCACAAACTTTCCTAAAAAGCGTAAGCTTCTTCAAAAATTAACCAAAACATACGTTACAGCTTGCCACTCCAAGTGAACACATCTTACCGTTTGCATGAAAGGTGTCAGGTGTTAAGAATTAATTTAATGAGCTTTTATATTTTCAGAGGCAATTAACTCTCATTTATAATGTTCCAGTATAGAGCCTTGGCCTTGATCTAACGACAGATTACATAATCAGAAGAACAAGAGACGATTAGTTCAGTTGACTCACCTGCGTAAGGCTTTATCAAAACGCTGATGCCTGTGGGCACAGATGGAAGAGTTGTGCTGACACCGGTGGACCGGTCTGGGCTGGAGAAGAGGCTCGGGTTTGGGGAGGCAGTCACACCGCTCCACATCTATCTCACAGTCTGGCATCCAGGAACTGAGTGGAAGCACTGTGTGAGACATGGCTTTTAAATGAAAATACTAAAGCAGAGGTTTTTGACTAGAAGCATACTCAATTAACTTAAGAGTTTATTGCGTCGTGATTTGGATATATTTCCATGCACTCACCTGGTCCAGTGGAGGGGTAGGGTATGCATCTCTCAGAGGAACAATCCCAAATCCAGCCAGTGGCACACAGTCTCCTGGAGTCCTCAAACTCTGACAGCTGGCCCATCAGAGAACAGCTATACCAACAAAAAAAAAAAACGTAAACAGAAATTTTTATTTAAATCTTTTTGAGAAACAGTACTATTAGTAATGATGATTTGGACTCACCCGCTGCTCCGCTGTGGCTGAGCATTACGGCGGATGATTGCAGGCTCCATGCACCTGCACTCAGTGTGGTTGGCTACTTTTATTAACACAGGTTCTGGTACAAACTTGAAGGGAATCACACTTAGGAGCTAAAATGTACAATCACACAGACAGAAAGTTGAGCTTGATTGACGCTGCTGATTAAACCCTCAAAAAAATGGAAGACGCTCACAGTTTTGTTGACATATGCAACAGAAGTGTTCCTGCAGGTTACACCCTCTTGATTGCAGCAGCCGCTGCACCTGCCAGCAGAGCAGGAAGACAAACTCATGTCAGAATAAAGCAATGAGCAAAGACTAGACTGAGACTGTTGAATTTAATTTGGCCATTGTAAACCTGATGAAGGACCAAAGTTTTATTTTGTATAGGCTTTGCCCTTTAAGGCTGGTTGTGTCAAATATTTCTCAATTAACCAATCACTAAAGAGCTTTTAATATACGCCCTCATACTGGGCAGCCCCAATCCAGTACAAGAGGGGTGTAAACCCACCATTGCTCTCCCATTCTCTCTTCACACAACCTTTTTGCTAAGTGTGAATGTTTGCATTGTTAGGTTGCTAACACGTGGCCTGTAAATGGCTTGTATTTGATGTAGTGCCTTCTAGAGGTGCTTTACAACACAGTCAGTCATTCACACACACATTCATACCCTGGTGGTGATGAACTACATTGTAGCCACAGCTGCCCAAGGTATACTGACAGAGGCGAGTCTGCCGTACTCAGGCTTCACCGGTCCCTCCGACCACCAGCAGGCAAGGTGAGTTAAGTGTCTTGCCCAAGGACACAACGACAGCGACAGACTGAGCGGGGCTCGAACTTGCAACCTTCCGATACAGAGCAAGCACGTAACATGTGCCACAGTCGCCCCAAAGGCAATCCACGTGTTATAATTTGGAACAGATTACCGTCCGGACTTTCTCTATGTTACAGTGACCTGCAAGCTTTCGTGCATTGGCACTCAGTCCACCTCATTGATATGCGTTTGCAGTGCTTCACAAATCACTATGATGCATCTGTCTCCTGTTTTTTGCTTCTCTTCCAACATACGGGGTGATTGCACCGGCCAGAGTGGCTTTCTCTGATGTGAGAACTTTTTTCTTCAGTCACCCATCAACCTGATGGCTGTGGAAGCCGTTCGGGTCCCTAGAGGCAGGGGTCCAGCGGATATACGTACGTGTGCTGTCCCTCCGTTCACCTGAGACCAGCTCAGACTCTGCTTCCAGCTTCTCACGCTCTCCTCTTGAGGTGACCCAACCAGTCTCGCCTCCCCACTGTCTCTACCCCACAGCCAGATCATCTGGCAGGAAGGTAAGGGCCACCAACACCCAATATGGCCATGACACCTACTGCCTAGGTTCAAAATATAGGCAACAGCTGACCTAGTTTCTCTTCCAGCACTCTATTGCCGGGTGAAGGAGGCCTCTGAGTGTTGTTTTTATCACTCATTCCCCCCAGATAGCACATGTAGGTGCGCCCCATTTGGAACATATATGGACAAGCCGTATGGTTCCCACCAGGGTTTGTCCACAGTTTCCACAGTGGCCCCACAGGGGTTTGCCCACAAAGAATCTAAACTCTCTAAAAACCCATGCAGGGCCCATTAAAATCTATGTGGGCAAAGAGCTTTCTGGGCAAACTCCTGTGGGGCCACCATGAAATTAAAGAAAATCATGGACAAACCCTGGTGGGACCCATACGCCTTGCCCATAAATGTTCCATATGTAGTGGGCTCCTTCCGAACCTGATGGGGTTTTGGTGCTGGTGCTGCAGGTCAGCAATAACCTGCCCCGACCCTGTGATTGACGGCACTTTTTACAACAGCCTCTTGCTTCGTGTTCTGTCTTGCCCCTCCCCATTCTGTAGGATGGTGGAGAAGTAACTAACATCGTCGGAACAGTGTTCCACCCTTGAGCTAGAACTGCGGGACCTCTTGTCTAGGAGGTCATATCCGGAGTCCCCTGGATGAGGAGAGTTCGGATTGTATTATTGTCATTTCTAGTTCTGAAATAAACAAGAGAAATGTGACCTGTTCTCGACCTGTGTCTATTCAACTGTTCCATCATGATGAAACACTTCTGCATGCTCGAAGAAACAGGTTTTGGATTACGTGCACTAGGAGGTCTGGTTCACCTTCATAAACCTGAAGAATGCCCAGTAGGCACATATTAAAGCTCTCAGTGACTGGGTAATCAGGATATCTGGGGTTACAATACAGATGATCATTCTGAATGCGTGTTTAATCCAAACAAACCTGTGGACAGACACACAGGGAGGCTTGAAAAAGATGGTGGGGTCAGTGCCCAGCTCCTTGGCTACATCAACACAGGTCTCCCTGGGCATACACTGAGTACGCTGCCACTCTTCATCTATGGCTGAACACACACACACATGCACGCACACACAAATGCACACAAACATACAGACACACACGAACATTAAACCCTGCAATTTATGAAGTTGCACATAATGTACTACATCATATCTTTCATCCAACCTTTAAGTATCTCCAGGTTGTATGATTCTGCAGCGTAGCGAGTGGAGCGGTGTGACCCCACTGAAGTAGGAAAGGAGAACGTTTCTGGCTGTTGCATCCTCAGACGACACTTCCATAACTTCCAGTCTGGAAAGTCTGTGAGTCTCAGCAACTCATCCAAGTTCGACGCTGACCGCACCTCTTTTTCCCACTGCCTCATCACCTGCTGAGATTTAAAAGCAAAAACACAGATCAGAAGGTTTCATGGTGACATCATATTTGGATCATATGGATCGCTACTGGAAGACAAGATGAACGGTTCTCTACAAGGACTTGGCTCTCAGTGTTCATGTTGAAAACCCATTCAAACAATTTGATTTGTTTGTGAGCGTCACATCACTAAGATGCTCTGAAAGAAGCAGTTCTACAGTGGCACAATTAGACCTAAACCAGACAACTTGCATCACTGTTTGTGTGACATAATAGCAGCATTATTCAATTCAGTGATGGCTCTTGTATATAAGTTGTTCAACAGTCTGGTGGTGTGACTTTTAAAGTGGTGGTAGAATGCAGCTTATTTACAATTGGAAACGGTGCCATGATCCTCTCTAAATGTCTTAGGAAACTTTGTTGGGGCTCACAATGACCCAGGAGCCCTGAAGAATGTAAGTAAGTAAAAACAGTAAGTAAAAGTTTATTTATATAGCGCCTTTCACAGATATAAATCACAAAGCGCTGAATGGCCAAAGTCAAACCCATGATCTAGCCCCAATTTAAAAAAAAACCCTGCTGAACAAGGATGTTTGTGCCGGCAATGTTAGCAGAGTCTTGCTGGCTGAGATGCACTGAAGTGCTGCGTAAGAAAGAATGTATTGTCAAGAAAAGTCAAGGACACCCCCCCCACGCCCCCCCCCCATCTCCTAAATGCATGCACATATTCAAAGTGATTAATTACAAACAATAAACAGATAAACAGACTTTTAACTCTTCTGCATAGTTTTGTTATTATTTGATGCGTCATTGGGATTTTATTAATGTAAATTTAATAATATATTCTTATAATCTCATCCTCAACACAGACAAAACTGTGGGGACCCCTTGAAATCTTGTGAGGACCCTCTTAGGGGGTCACTGTGCCCAGATTGGGAACCAGTGCTCTAGGATTTTGTTTTCTGAAGGCAGCAAGTCATTCAGGGAAGGTGTGTGTTTGTTATTTCCTCTGCATGGCCTTCCTGTCAGCTGCAGGCTGCTGCTGAAGCACACCAGACAGGACACTCACCATGGAGCAGTGATAAAACAACAAGAACAGATGTTCTGGCAGGTTGATCTTCCATAGAGCTTTTAGGAAATGTAGCCGTTGTTGTGTCTTCTTTATCAGACAGTTGGTGTTGTGAGTCCAAGTGACCACAGATGATGTGTTTTGAATGAATGAATGAATGAAATTTTATTTAAGTGTCATGCACAACGTGTGCCCAGCTCCACGGACTTATAAGACACTATTAGCAAAACAATATAACAATAGATGGCCATACATTTACATAACAACAATTTATGCGACAGGATAAAGTGCAGATTGTCTACATACCCACGCTCTTTCTATAAAATGTAGCTAGGCCATAAATCCTTTATTAAAAAGCCAACTTAACACGTGACCTTCTGAAAACCAGAACTAATCTGGATTTTTATGCTGGATCTTTTCAAACATGGACCTTCTCAAATGATTGTATAACGGACAGTAAAACAAAAAATGAAATTCATCTTCAACAACATCTAGATTGCATAAAACACACAGACGTTGCACCTCCTATAACCCTTTATATCTCCCCACTTCAGTGGCAAGAGGCAAACATCCTGCTCGCAGTTGAGCACACTGTCTTCTTTTTAAATTACCTTCAACATAGGGCTCTGTCACAAAATTGTCCTTAAACTGAATGTAACTTCTTAGTCTTGGCTTTTTAAGCACATCAACTTTAAATATCATTTTGTGCAAAATTCTTTAGCATTTGGGAAAATGCACCTCTTGATATTAACTAAACATTAAATGCTTTAAATGGAAAGAAAACGAGAAAATGAGCAGTCCAGAAAATTTCCAATAAAATATTCCAACTTTGTGAGTTCCACTGCTGGGAAATTGCAAAAATCTGGCTGTGAAGAGTTAGTTCATGTACATGCCAAAGGTTGTGCAAAGGAAGTAAAGCAGCCCAGGGTTGTGTGTAACCAGATCTATAGCCTTCACCACCTGAATAAATAGGATTTTAAGTAATCCTCAAACTCCTTCAGTGGCATAAATAATGGATGTAATCAAGTAAGATTATTATGAAGACATGGGCTTCTCCTTCATCTCTATTTATTTCGACTTAAAGCTGATATATAAGGATGTGAAATACCTCCACAAAACCATGTCATTCCATAGCGGACAGACAGAGTTCCCATGGTGACGTAAAGCAAAACCAAATGGAGGCAGGTTGGCTCAGAGGACTCCTTATAAAATAAATGTCAAATGATTTCTTCTGTTCATGTGAATATCTAATATTTTCTTTCTGTGGTGTAGAGCTAAGGATCTGCTTAAATAACACAGGAAACAAAAAAGGGACGGAGACAGTTTATGTCAAGTTGATGAGAAACGGAGACCTAAAGTGTTAGAGGTATGAAGTAAATCCCTTTAGGCAAGACTGTCACATGACCACATTTACTGTCAGTCTGGACAAAGCACGTCTGCTTCAGGGACACGAACTGGTCAAGTGTGAAGTTTATGAGATAATGAGTCCAAGACAAAGTTGAGATTTTAACAGTTGTCTGCACAAATTAGTAAAAGGATTGATCTCCTTTTGAAGAATATGGACAAAACTTACCCTACTTCCTCTCTCCCTGTGCATGCTGTAACCCTTAGTCATCCAGCTGAGCTCCAGAACAAAGATGACCAAGAAAAAGAATCTCCACAGAGTCTGTTTCATCTTCTCCATCATCTTCAGACCCCTGGCTTGTTTTCTCTGGTCTGTGCAGAGAAAGCTTTGAAAGTGGACTGCCTCTGACTTGGCTCCTCAGATCAGCTGGGTCCCTCAGACCACACACTCTGCCCCCTCAGAACAGGTCTGTGCAAAAGAAATTCTCTTGATCTTCCAGCTGCACACTGAAGTCTCTCTCTGTGTGTGTGTGTGTGTGTGTGTGTGTGTGTGTGTGTGTGTGTGTGTGTGTGTGTGTGTGTGTGTGTGTGTGTGTGTGTGTGTGTGTGTGTGTGTGTGTGTGTGTGTGTGTGTGTGTGTGTGTGTGAGAGTGAGTGAGTCAGACGTAACTCGTCACAGAAACCCAAACACCAAATGGGGAGGGGGGCTTTAAAACAAGACTGTCCTAACGCTTTGATGCAGAAACCTGGTGTCCACTTGGAGCCAACTAAAAGAGATCTACAAAGCAAAGACCTTAACTATATTTTTAAGTTAAAGTCCCATTAGTCATCATCACACACTGGTGGAATTACATGTCCACTTTTGACCCATAGTTGTGGAGAACTATAAGCTCCGGCTGCAGCTGTGCTCAGGAACTATTTGGTGGTTTAAACCCCCCCCCCCCCCCCCCCATCCATCCCCTTAAAGCTGAGCATCAAGCAGGGAGGCATTGGGTCCCATTTATTAGGTTGGAATGAGCGGGGCGGACACTCCACCACTAGGCCACTGAGAAGGTGGCTTAGGAGCTTCTAGATAAATAAATTTGTTTTTAGACTTCTACAAGCATTTGTCTCATTTGATGAAAAAATGTTGTCCTCCTTGGACTTGGTTTCTCCAACTACAGCTGGCCCAAAGGCACTATTTAAACTTCACTCATGCTTTTGTTTTAGGATCCTGTCTCCCAGACACCATACCCACCTGGATTTATTTCAGATGTGATAGAAGGTTAAATGTAATGTACATCAGGATGAAATCCTGTTTTAGAGTTCACACAATAAAAAATAATGCAATGTTCATAAACATTTATTTGCATGGGTTAGACAAACACAACTTACGGGATGAGAAGAAACAAGAAACTTAGTTTTGTTAGAATAAAACGCGTATAGTGTTATTCGTGAGAGACGGCTCAGATTAAACATAGCTGCTGTTTCTTTGGTCATTTCAACAATAAACTGAAAGATAAAAGAACACAGGTGTATTTTCAGTTAGTTCAAAAATAGTCATTGATGTGACCAATAATCACGTAAAGTCACTTAGTAAATCTGCCAAGACAGCTTTTACCCATTCAGAATAAAAACCTCCTCCATTCAGAATAAAAACCTCCAGTAATGGTGGTTCAAGCCACACAGAGCTGGCTAATCTGTAGATTTCAGATTATAAACTGCTGGTTTAGAGCAGAGATTATTACACAAGGCAACCATTGTGTTTGATCTACAACAAAGTCATACACTTCAAGAGACTGCACCTTTTTTATGTGCAGCATAATGAATAGATTTGTTTGTAAGACTGCCATCTGGTGGCAATAAACTAAATGATAGGAGGTTAATGGATTTTGGGATACTTCAGCCATCTAGAAATGTGTTTGGTCTGCCCGTCCTGTCAGATGTAAGCCCTAAGACCATCTACAGCAGGTAGGCTTCCATGGTGATATTCAAGAAACTCTTGAAGACCCAGCTCTTCAGAGGGCACCTTCACCCTCCCAGCTCCCGTCCCCCACTCTACTGCACACTCCATGTTCACTTCGCCTCTATGATTGATCATACTGCCTCACTACCACCTAGGATTAACGGAATAGTGTTTGTCGTTAGCCTCAAGGGTACCTTGCTGGCTTGATTATCACCTGTAAGTCACTTTGGACAAAAGAGTCAATTACATAAACATATACATAGAAACTCACTTTAAAATTGTTAAATAATTCCTTTAAGAGAATGTATAGAGTTTAAATAAATCACGAAAAAGCAACCCCACGGCCCCCCTGATCTGAATTCGAGTGGTGTTTTGTTATTGGACTTCTGTGCCAGTCATGGATTGTCCATAATGAACACCATTTTCAAACATAAAGGTGTGCATATGTGCTCTTGGCACCAGAATACCTTAGGCCGCAGCTCGATGATCGATTTTGTTGTTGGTTCATCTGACCTGTGGCCGCATGTCTTGGACACTCGGGTGAAGAGAGGGGCGGAGCTGTCAGATGGTGGGGGAGGATGCCGGTCAGACCAGGCAGACCCAAACGTATCGCGAGGGTCTGCTGGGAACAACTGGCAGAGTCTCCTATCAGAAGGCTTCAATTCCCACCTCCGACAGAACTTCCAAAATGTTCCGGGGAGGCGGGGGACATTGAGTCTGAATGGACCCTGTTCCGTGCCTCCATTGTTGAGGTGGCCGACCGGAGCTGTGGTCGCAGGATCGTCGGTGCCTGTCGTTGTGGCAACCCCTGAAACCACTGGTGGACTCCGGAGGTTAGGGATGCTGTCAAGCTGAAGAAAGAGTCCTATCAGGTCTTTTTGGCCTGTGGGACTCCAGAGACAGCTGATGGGTACCGGCAGTCCAAGCGGAACGCGCCTCGGGTGGTCGCCAAGGCAAAAACCCGGGCATGGGAGGAGTTTGGTGAGACCATGGAGCAAGACTTCCGTACGGCTTTGAGGAGATTCTGGTCCACCATCTGGCGCCTCGGGGGGGGGGGGGGAAAGCAGTGCGCTACCAACACTATCTATAGTGGGGACGGTGTGCTGCTGACCTCTACTCAGGACATTGTGGATCAGTGGGCAGAATACTTTGAAGACCTCCTCAAACCCACTAACACATCTTCTAGTGAGGAAGCAGAGTCTGGGGACTTTGGGTTGGCCTCTTAAATCTCTGGTGCTGAGGTCACTGAGGTGGTTAAAAAGCTCCTCTGTGGCAAGGCTCTGGGGGTGGATGAGATCCGCCCGGAGTTCCTTAAGGCTCTGGATGCTGTGGGGCTGTGTTGGCTGACGCGGCTCTAAAATATCACTTGAACATCGGGGCGGTCCCACTGGACTGGCAGACCGGGGTGGTGGTCCCCTCATTTAAAAAGGGGGACCGCAGGGTGTGTTCCAACTACAGGGGGAATCACACTCCTGTGCCTTCCTGGTAAGGTCTATTCAGGGGTTCTGGAGAAGAGGGTCCGTCGGATTGTTGAACCTCAAATTCAGGAGGAGCAATGTGGTTTTCGTCCTGGCCGTGGACCACTGGACCAGCTCTATACCCTTAGGGGGATCCTGGAGGGTGCGTGGGAATTTGCCCAACCAGTCTACATGTGTTTTGTGGATTTGGAGAAGGCGTTTGACCGTGTCCCTCGGGGGCCCTGTGGGGGGTACTCCAGGAGTATGGGGTACCAGGCCCTCTGATACGGGCTGTTAGGTCCCTATATGACCGGTATCAGAGCTTGGTCCGCATTGCCGGCAGTAAGTCGGGCTTGTGAGAGTTGGACTCCACCAAGGCTGCCCTTTGTCACCGATTCTGTTCATAACCTTCATGGACAGGATTTTTAGGCGCAGCCAAGGTGTGGAGGGCATTCGTTTTGGGTGGCCTGAGGATCAGGTCTCTGCTTTTTGCAGATGATGTGGTCCTGTTGGCTTCATCAGAACGTGATCTTCAGCTTTCGCTGGAGCGGTTCGCAGCAGAGTGTGAAGCAGCTGGGATGAGAATCAGCTCCTCTAAATCTGAGACCATGGTCTTGATTCGGAAAAGGGTAGAATGCCTTCTTCGGGTCAGGGATGAGGTCCTGCCCCAAGTGGAGGAGTTTAAGTATCTCGGGGTCTTTTTCATGAGTGAGGGAAAACTGGAGCATGAGATCGATAGGTGGATTGGTGCTGCATCTGCAGTGATGCGGGCGTTGTACCGGTCTGTCGTAGTGAAGAGAGAGCTGAGTCAGAAGGCGAAGCTCTCGATTTACCGGTCGATCTACGTTCCTACCCTCACCTATGGTCATGAGCTTTGGGTAGTGGCCGAAAGAACGAGATCGCGGATACAAGCAGCCAAAATGAATTTTCTTTGAAGAGTGGCTGGGCTCTCCCTTAGAGATAGGGTGAGAAGCTCGGTCATTCGGGAGGGGCTCGGAGTAGACCCGCTGCTCCTCCACATCGAGAGGAGCTAGTTGAGGTGGCTCGGGCATCTGGTCAGGATGCCTCCTGGACACCTCCCTGGTGAGGTTTTCCGGGCACGTCCAACCGGGAGGAGACCTAAAGGTAGACCCAGGACACGTGGAGGGACTATGTCTCTCACCTGGCCAGGGAACACCTTGGGATTTCCCCGGAGGAGCTGGCCCAAGTGGCTGGGGAGAGGGAATTCTGGGCCTCTCGCCTTAGGCTACTGCCCCCGCGACCCGACTCTGGATAAGCGGATGAAAATGGATGGATGGATGGATGGATGGATGGATGGAAAGCAACCCCAAAGATTACAAATGATTAATTATTCTAAACAAACAAGAAATTGCTTAAATAAACGGATATTGATATGATATAAATCAAAGTCTTAAACCTAATTTTGCTTCTGAAAATCTTAACTTTGATTAATCTGTAAACCTAACTCAAGCCTGGACTCTTATCCTGATCCCTACCACAGCAACCACAAATAAATCCATAAATATGCTGGCATAATAACCGACCATTTCACTCTAGAGGTCTTCAGACAGAATCTCGGATTTTGGACCTCCAGTTTTTGGCTCTTTCAAACCCGTTTCTGCCCATCTGGTAGTCGTTGATCGCCTGACAGATCTCCTCCTCAGTGGTCATAACAAATGGACCTGCAGCGTGAACGCGGTACATGTTAAATATTTGATCCGCTGCTCTGTCCAGTTACTCATTTTTAGCACTAAAAGAAAAACTAAAGTAGATACCATGTTGTACCACCGGCTCGTTGATGGGTTCTCCAGCAATCAGCACAAAATGGGAAACCTCGGAGCCCTGGAGGTGAAGATCGTGTTAGTGTCTGTACTTTCACTGAAACAAACATGTTTTTCCAAAACTTCCTAAACAATGGTTTTGTGACAGTGAGAGGTGGATGCCCCTAATAAAGTTACAGTCCAAAGCATCTATATATAACAATTAAAGTAGTTTAATACCTTGTTTTCAAACCTGACACAGTCACCATCACCAAACACCACCGTGTGATGAGGCTCCACTGGTTTCTCATCCTGATCTGGCCCTTTAAACCAAAGCAGATGACTTTACATTTATTACTTTTATATAAAATTAGTTGATATTAAAATGAAGAACACATAAGGAGTTTACAGGATTCATTTAGTCAAACATTGGCACTTTAGCATCACTCAGGTAAAGTGAATTATGTTTTTGCTGGGTTTTGTTTTCAGACTCGGTCCTTTAGCTTGCAACATTTCTATCAGAAAACTGAAAATGTTTCACAATCCTGTCAAAAAACCAGAAGCTTAGTTCTATCAAATCACCACTAACATGCTTGAAAGTGGGTTCTGTAAAGGTTATGAGCAATTAGTTTCACCTGTTTTTGATACTTAATTAGAACAACTTTAGTTTGGGGAAACAGAGATGACTAGGGATGTTCCGATCAGGATTTTTTGCTCCCGATCTGATTCAGAGTCCTTAGAGTTTAAGAATCTGCCGATACTGAATCCCGATCAGATACTTTAGAAAAAATGAAGAAAAAAAGAAAACACACTAGAGTTGTCCTTTAAGCTTTTTTTTAATCATTATTGTATTTCTCTCTGTATTTGTCATTTCTTTAGTCTTATTTGCCATAAAAAATCACTTGTTTAATAAGAAATATGTTAATTTTAAGAGTATATGGAAAAGTAAACTGTCACTTTCCATTTACGTTAATAATAAATGTGTTAATATTAAGAATAAATGTAAAACTAGCATTGTTGTCGCTCATATCGTTTACTCAGTGTGCAGATGTTCAGAGCGACAGGAATGGCATGGCACATGACGGTCAGTAGCAGGCTCACGTCTTTCTACAAAACACCTGTAGTACTGCTGCGTCTTTAACTCATTCACTGCCAGCAGTTTACTGATCGCTAACGGCCTTCGCTGCCAGTGTTTCTCACTGTTTTTATTGTTTTTTTAAGAGTCACAGAACGTTGCGCGCTAGGATGATGTCGACGCCAAAACAACCAAAACAAAGAGGAGACTCACCTCTTACATTAGGAAGAATCTGCATGTTTCGAGCGTTATCCGTTCTTTCATAATCCGTTGTCGAATTGTGATCGGCAGACGCTTTTCCGGTTCGCCCCTCACTTCTTTTAAAGGAACGGCCCAAAACGATCTCCTAACACATGGATGTTCTGCTTCCTGATCACGTGACGTGTGACGTATGCGGATGAAGATCGGCTTCAGGGCTGAGATGTTTGTTCTCTCAGCGCGTGGGCTCGTTCCGATGCTCAAACAGTAAAAAAAATGCAAATGACGACTTTAGTCGTCATTGGCAGTGAACGGTTGGATCTAAAATGACGACTTTAGTCGTCAATGACAGTGAATGAGTTAAAGGTAAGAAGAGATAGCAGATCATACCGTGACTCAAGGAGACCGCAGAACCCAATGTTTGCAACCACAGACAGTTGTTCAGTGGTCCAATAGGATCTTAGCATTTTTGCTTTTCGTAAACAATTTCTTTTTTCTCATAATATATTTTATCACTGTCGCCTGGCTTATCCAAATGGTTGCAGCAAAATGAGCAGGTTCAGATGTTTTTAAGGTAGCGCATCAGATTTGTAGCGCTGAACGCAGCTCTACCTTTTCCACCAATGAAATGCCCACTTTTCCCACATTAAATGTGTCTATTACACTTGCTTTGCTTTCCGTTGTAAAATACATCTAAAATACAGAATTTTTTTCTCTCTGAAAGGGACAAGTACGCCCTGTGTTAGCTAACAGCTACATGTTATGGAGTGTGAATTTCCGTGCTACCTTAAATTGTAGTTCTTTAAAGTGTTGATGTCAGTTAAATTCCATGGAAAATATTTTGAATGTTTGGTTTGAATGCAAGTGTTGCTAAACTAGAAACGCTACAGATAGATAGCTCTAATAAAAATGTTGTTAATATACCCAAATAATTTAATGTAAAAAAAAAGCTAAATATAGACGTCATATAAAATGCTTCGACTTTTTGGAGTTCTACTTAGATGGCATTGATCCACATTGTAAATGGCCTTGTTGTAACTAGCTGTTAGCTCATCAATCCAATGTGTCTCCAAACTGAGGTCTATCTGCAGCCATCTTAGCAGGTATATTAAATTTTTTTTAAATTATTTATCTAATTATTTATGTTTCTCTGAATATTAATAAGTCACTGGGGGAAATTAAACAATTAAATAATTTTTGTAATAGAAAATAGGCTTTCATGCTTGAACCTAAACTCAAAGAAAAACAGACTGTTGGACACTTTCATCAAAGCCAGCTGGTAGGCCTACACGTGGAGTTTGAGACTTCAAATTCAAATAATTGTTTCATAGTCTCAGCATCTACCTTTTTATTTTCTCGTGTCTTTAAAGCACCTGGCAAAGATTAAACCCAGTTCAAATGATTCTGGGATGCAACAATGGATCACAAAAGGTTTTATGAAAGAAAATTACAAAGGGAAATTCCTGAAAACAACAAGTTCCAATAAACTTCATGTCTGGAAGGGTTTGTTCTCATGCATGGGGAATTCCCTGATTGTGCAAAGTCTTTGCAACAAGCAGCAGGAGGTTTTTCACAAGATCAAGCAGTCCTGTTGATACAACCATTACTTAATGAGAGGAAAGGGACTGGTTTGAAGCTGGAAAATAATAAAACACATTTTATTTTGAGTAGATTTTGGTTTGATCTGATGTCTGAGCTTGTTGAGTTTTCAAACCAAACAATGGTGTTTTAGCTGAATGTGGCTGTGATTTGTTACGGCAGCAGGGTGAGACAGGAGGGAAGCCACAGAGCAAATGACTGAACATAATAAAGAAGACATGCCTTCCTTTTTAGAGCTGTGTGTTGAAAACATTTGTACAGAACTGATCATTTCTTGAGTCAAAAAAGAGACAAAACTCACCAACATGAATGGTCCCTGAGATGGTGTAGATGAAGGCCGTCCATCCTATAAAAGAAAGAAGTGTTATTTCTAAATGATGACAAGAGTTTTTATTTGATTAGTTCGGCAACTGAAAGCATCACATAAAATTAAGATCAGCACATAAATTTCAATATCAGACAAACATAACCTTTGTAAACAGAAAATGCAAGACGCAGTAATTTATTTAACCAATCAAATCGTTTCATTGTCCCCATGGGGGTTAGTTGGGTTTTTGTGCTACAATGACGAGACATGTAAACTAAAACGCTTCAGCATCTGCTTCAATAATCAATAGAGGCTGTGATACAAAAGGGTCTCCTCGTGGCAGGGATGCCTGGAAACACACGCAGGATTACAAACAGCACTGACAGGAGATAAAGGGATGAAGGCTGTTGGTTCCAAATCAGTCATGAGATGTTTCTGCATGAGCATGTTCACCGACAACACTGGCCTTTTATCATCAATCATTCTATGCTGGAGAAACAACGGTGTATTTAAAAAGACTGTCCTACCTAGTGGGACTGGCTGCACGTGCACGGCCCCCGTTTGCATTTTGAAGTCCAGGTACAAGGTTGGTGTTCGTGTGTAGACCTTAGACTGTTCATGGGAATAGAAAGGGTGATGAAAACCTTTTTCTCCCAAAGAAACACACAAACCCTAACCTGTCAAGTCCATTTGAGTATACTTCACAGACTGCTCTAATGGTTGCTATGTGGTTTTAGAATATTTATGTGATAGTACACAAACACACACTGATATTTATTCTCTCATGAACACAAAACTATAATCAGTATTTATTAAAACTAAACATATCTGAGAACCGAGTCCAACCATAAGACTTGTGATACAAATAAAAGATTAAACTTTACAATCCAAAGAGCCAATTTCCTAGCCTGGCTAAGCCAGACTTTGCAAAGCAAGAATTTGGTCTAGTTCACTAGGCTACCAATTTCCTCCTCAGACTACCAAAATAAAACTGTTGCAAGACATTTGGTAAAAGATTATTAATGAGAAATATTTACGGAAGAAGATCGGGGTCACTGAAAAAAAAATTTCTTATTCTATTCCCAGGAAATAGTCAGTACTCCCAATTTAAAATCAACATTCTAAAATCGGAAATCTTTTTTTTATTCTGCCATAAATATAAAAAGAAATAAAACAATTCATTTTTTTCCTATGGGATGTTGGTATTTGCTGACATACCACGGGTTCTTTTAGTGATCACTCTGTGATTAGATGTTATATTGTCTATATTCAAAAACATTATTTAGATTTTTTGGAAGCAACGCCTCTTGTTTGTGAAAGCACTCCTGTTACCAGTAGAGCTAAAATATGTTGTTTCACAAATATTATTCTGACGTTAAAGATGGGTTCACTTGCTCACATTAGCAGTGGTCTCCAGTAGGAATGAATGCCTTGTAACCCCAGATTCACACTGGAAGTATCAGCGGCGCGGAACGGCAGTGGAACGCCACTGCTTCAAATAGAATCCTTCATAGTCTGTGGAGTGTTTCGAACCAGCTGTGACGCGGCTATTTTTAGGAACGGGTTCTAGTTTTGTTGCGACCCGCTTCTGGGACACGTCAATTTTTTAGCACAGGGCTAGACAGGAAATCAATCATGGTTTAAATGTAAAATCCCCAGTAGGTTTCAAAATAAAAGTACTGCAGCAATGCAATTTCATATATAAATGTAGCGTTTGTGTGACCCAACGGCTAATTTAATCCCAGTACTGCTCCAGAAGCGCATCGGTATGTTTTTCATGGCTTTAATCCTGGCAGTGGTGAGGAACATCATCATATTTGACATTAAATAGTGACATCAAAGTTGATTTCCTTCCTTTTGTTTTAATGACGAATTGCATAAAGAAACTGTGACCTTTGAAGTTGAGGGATCTTGTGATCACGCGAGTCCAGCGAAGAAGCTGTGCCATGTCCAAGACTCTCCCGGTGTGGAAAGGACCGCTTTGAAGTTGGCGAGTAAACCGTTCCGCTGCTGTTTTGTGCTTCTGATGCTTCTATTGTGAAACCGGGGTAAGTCTTACTCTGGGAAAAAAAGCTCCGGTGCACCAGTTTCAGGAACCAGAAGTGAGCCACATCGCAGCTGAGCTTCAGACAACAGGATTTGGAGTCTTATTTCCTGATATTTGGACATCTCACCTCTTATTGGCCAACAGCAACACGACTCCACCACTAACGCTGTTTGGTCTGAAACGTTGATGTTTTATCTCCACAAATAATACAAGTCTGGGGGTGTTCTGCTGTGTGGTAGAATTGCTAATGCTAACGGTTAGCTTCTCTGCTGTTTCCTGGATGGTAAACCAGCAACAGCCTTCCCCATCATGAGCCAAGATGGATGAGTCCATGACCGTTAAGTGACAGTGTGACGTAGATGTGTCAGGCTTTTCTGAACCGAGAGATTTTCTGTCTATTTTCTAACAGAAGCTGAAGCAAGAGATATGTGTAGAAGACTATTTTCACATTCAGCCTGGATGTTAAACTCAGAAAACAATAAGTAAAAATGGTTTCTTATGAACCTGCTCTTTAAATAAAAATGTATGTGCTACAATAATTTTATTATATTTTTATGTAATAAATCTGAATCTAAAGATCTGAGTTGAATTGTAACAAACAGTGGTGAGGGTGGGATTGAACAATGTATTCAGAAGAAATCATAACATTCATACTTTGGCCACAATCAGATCCCACTTCCTGACTGACATCACATCAGCTTCCCTTGTTCCACATGTAAGAAAACACTGATGAAATGCTAACGAGTCATCTGTCACATGACTTAGCTCCTCATCTCAGGCTAATGTTCCTTCATCACTCAGACACTTTTTCGCCTCACTGTAATCACACAGTGTGGTTTACAGGCACTTCCTTTTAGTGGTGCACACACACGCACGCACGCATGCACGCACACACACACACACACACACACACACACACAAACACACACACACACACACACACACACACACACACACTAAAAACAAAAACACACACCTTGGCTCCTAAAGCTTCTCCAGAAATCACAGCGACTGTAATTCCTCCCTGGCTGGGTTTGGGGATCTCTGAGCCCTTAAGCTCCTGGTACGCTGGTTCCACCATCTTTTCTTGTTTCCGCAGGTTCACCCACAGCTGCAGGCCCACCACTGGCTCCTCTGACACGGGCATCTCAGCATGAACCACCCCCCGTCCTGCTGTCATCCACTGGTGGACAAGAGGACACATTTCTCAAAGACCCCAAAGCACAGTCAGATTTGTTGATGGGGTTAAAATATTATTGTTCTCACTATGTGATGGATCTGTTAATTTATCTTCCACATTGAGAAGCAAAATGCTAGATTATTATTATTATTATTATTATTATTATTATTATTATTATTATTATTATTATTATTGTATGAATTGTATCTGTAATCACTGACAGCATGAATTTGGGGACAATTCCAATTTATCACCAGAAATGTACACGGACTCCCCAACTTCAATCATTTTTTATTATAGCAGATGTAAAAATGTCAGCAAAAGTAAATAATTATTCTAAAAATCAGCTGCATTTTGTTCGCTCATTACTGGTATTAAAGTTGTTTTTTTTGTGTGTGTCCTTTAAATTGATTCTCTTAGAAAATGAACCAAAGCAAATTTTTGAAGACTGTTTCCTCCCACGCCTCCCCATAAGAAGCCCTGCTGTCATTTGACATCATTTTTCTAAAGAACTGGCAAGCGTCTGAGCATCTGCAGCTCCCGCCATGTGAAGTTACACACTGTGGGTTGGAGTCACATCATTTGAACTGACTGAACCTCTGCTGCACACTGAAACTGAGACAGCGTCCATGTGTGTGTGTGTGTGTGCGTGCGTGCGTGCGTGCGTGTGTGTGTGTGTGTGTGTGTGAATGCAAGTTTACAGCCATAAAAATGCAGATAACTGCCCAAAGGTTATTTTATGGGTCTACATCTTTATAATGCATGCCTAATGAGACTGTGCTGATTTTTGTGCTTTTGAAAAAAAAAAGATAGTTTGGTTCCAACATCAGAGAAACTTAAAGCAACTTTGCTGACATGCACCAGTTTCAGTGTCACTTGTTGGCTGATACTAATTAGAATGAAATATGCCAGTTTTATGTAATTGTTGCAGTAACACTCCTGATGTATGAAAGTTTTTCTTAATGCCATACCTGCAGATCTCCAGGCTTCAGACAACCTGAATGACCACAGAAGTCTTCATGAGCTGTGATTCCCCCCAAAACATATGTGACCTAACACACACACACACACACACACACACGCACACACACACACGCACACACACACACACACACACACACACACACATTTTCATATTTCAAACCAATCCAAGGTCTTGAGATACATTTTCTAAATAAAAATGGCAATACTTTCTAAAATAAATAACATTATAAGCTTCAGCGAGCTCCAGTTTTCAATATTTCAGACCAATGGTTGGCGAATAAAAGTGTTTTATTCACACTTATAAACACATTAGCATTTAATTCACTATTGCAAATATCAGACAGGACAGAAAGCCAAATGCTGCATTTTAGGTCAGGGGTTCAAAGGTAAACGTTTGAGTAAGGGAAGAAAGCTGACGCCCCTGCAGTGAACCACATGTCATCTATCTCCACAGCTGTGTGATTTCAAAAGCCATGTGAGAATCAGCAAACACGCTCTGTGAACGGCATGCTGGGATCGTGAAGCCCAGCCTCGTCCTTCCACACCAGGAGGCTAAAGCAGCATCGATATCAAACACACTTGGAGGAAAGTTTTCAGCTCAGTTATTAGATGATTTAATCATTATTAGTTTGACAAATCTTTAAATACAACATATGAAGTCACATTTGCATAAACCCAAGCATATTTTTACAGTTCATATTATTGGTCAAGTAGACTGAAAAACAGGCTTTTTATGTGAAGTGCACTATGATTCACAGAGTGGGACTCTATTTCCCATAATGCTTTGCTGTATTTAATTACACAGGTGTTTGACATCAACTGTCCTTTTTAACGAAGGACTCTATGAACATATACAACTCCTGATGAAGGTCTTTGGAACAAAAGCTTGAAAAATAAAACTCACAACTGCAGATTGAAGTGTGCGGATTCTGCTCTTTTTGTTACAATTAATATTATTAAAATTAAAAAGAAGTAAGATCCACACACACGTTTTGACTTCAAAAAGCAGTGAAGGCTGGTTAAAAAAGGGCATGGTTTCTCACAAAACACACAAACAGGGCAGTTCCTTCATTTCAAAACAGGGGATTTTATTATTGTTAAACTGCTTTCAAGGCTTCATCAGATGTACACTTCACTGTTCCACCACAACAAAACCTCTGCTCTTATAAAATAACTAGTTCATTGTAGGCATGCAGCTATTGAAAACTTTAGCATTTGAATATTCTATCAAATCCTCCATCAATTAATGGAATATTCTATTCGACGATGTTTCACATGAAACAACTGTGGTCTGCTGCTAGAAATATAAAAATAAAACAATCCCCCATTATAAGAAATTAAAAAAGGCTCAATAATACGTATACAATTGTTGTCTACTTCCTGTTTTTCCCAGCTGATATTTACATTTGAAAAATATTTTATGGAACAAAATTGGACTCATATTTCATTAACATTTTAGGTTTTTAGTAAAATCACTCATCTACTCAAAATAACCTATTTAAATATACACACGATGAATAAAATTAATTATTTCAAAAACATGTTCAGTAGTAAGCTACTGGAAATGCTACTAACACTTAATTTCTACTAGTAACAATGTAATGGTGGCATATATACAAGGCCGGATTAACCATATGGGCAACTGGGCAATTGCCCAGGGCCCACAAACTCTAAAGGGCCCAGGGCAGCAAAGGCACGAGCAAATTACTGTATCTGTAATCTCCCGCTTTATATTAAACTAGTGTGACCGTACGTCCTGTTTTCCCCGGACATGTCCGCTTTTCACTCTGTCCTGGATGTCCGGGTTCTTGTATTGATGAAAATGTCCAGCTTTTCATCCAGGAGCAGGGATGGGGGAGCTGTATATCCTACACATCCAGGGGAGCCGGAAAAAAGTTTTCTACCTATATTACTATATGATCATTCATGGACTCTTTTCAGCAGAGAGCGGCAGAGCGATGATCGGTGCACAGCGCTCCAGGCTGCTGCGTCCAGCGCACGGTCCATTCTCAAAGTGGCGCAACCAAAAAACTATAATTAACACACGATCGTTCATGTCCGCACATGTTCTCTACTTTCTGTCTTATTTGTGCCTGAAGCGCTCTCCGGAGCTCATCACCTGTGCTGCGGTGATTTCACCTAATGCATAGAAACGCGCACTCCGCTCTGCGGTCAGGAGATCCCTTTGATCTGCTCAAAAGTAACTGATGAGGTGAAAAAGTAAGAATCCAAGCAGCAGATTTTCTGGAGAGTTTAGAGGAGATGCAGGAAGAAGAGAGACAGACAGGACAGGAAAACATAGTTAAATAAAAACTAGAAAACAAAACAAAGTGTTGAAAATTAAAGTGTAGGTAGATTTATCTCCACTACACGTTTTTACCTGCAAAACAATAAGTTACACACATGTAATATTTATACATCTGATACAATTCAGATCACCTTCAACACTCAGTCACACACCCAGGGCCGTTTCAAGACATTTTGAGGGCCAAGGCAAAATGACCACCACCACCACCATAGCTGGGCTCCCCAGAAGCCTCTGTGTAATCCATACCTTCTCCAGTAGTGTTAGTTATACAGTGTTTATAAAAACCCCTCAGACATTACTGACATGTTCTAATATTATCAGATGAAAAACTAAATTATCAGACTTGCTGTCTCATCTGCTTCTTTTCTAAACTTGCAAAAAGTAACAAAACCATTTGAAAGCCACTATTTGTGGATTCTCTGAAAGTTTCCATGGAGTGTGTGACAACTTATTTTTTCATTGATCCTATTGTCTAATCTCACAGCTGAAACAAGCACCCTTAATAATCTGTGCACAGGAAGCTTACCGATGCTGTAGTAAAACAAAAGTTATAATTTATTATTAATAAAACCCTGTTGCAGCACTAAAGCAGAAAAATGAGATTTTGCAGTAAATATGCTAAGTATTTATTGTTTTAGAGCCCTTTTATTGGCGGAATCTGATATTAATTTAGTTCTTACAAAAATTGGGTCCCAGCGTTGTGTGGCGTTGCCATGGTGTGACGTCATCGGCACAGATCCCCTGTCCTCTTTTTTGGAAATGGAAATATGATCACCCTATATTAAACAAACTGTCCACCCGGGCTTTTGCGCTGCACAGAGACGCTTCGCTGCCTATGACTTTGAACGTCAGTTGAGAGTCAGTCTCTTGTAGACTGACCAATGAAGAGAGGGCCTCAAGTTAAGACCCTCTCCTCATTGGTCAGTCCACACGAGGTGGGTCAAAGGTTACCCTGAGCGGGTTACGTGAAGTCAGGCATTCAAGTATTGAGTATATTTACTGCATATTACAGTAAAATATTCTGTATGTGACCATATTATGGTGATCCTTGGGTCGTGATGATGGGGCCCTTGAATATTGTTGCCCAGGGTACAACGAAGTCTTAATCTGGCCCTGCATATATATATATATATATATATATATATATATATATATATATATATATATATATATATATATATATATATATATATATATATATATATATATATATATAGATAGATAGATATATATATATAGATATATATATATATATATAGATATAATATTGATATTTATGTGTGTGTGTGTGTGTGTGTGTGTGTGTGTGTGTGTGTGTGTGTGTGTGTGTGTGTGTGTGTGTGTGTGTGTGTGTGTGTGTGTACGGGTTAGCAACATAATCCACAAATAAACGGGATGGTGGGGAAATTATTCTTTCAAAGTTTAGTCATTCACAACCATCACGATTTTTCTAAACCCCACTGATCGTGAGTGAGCTACTCTTGATCCCAAACTTTGGACCATTTCTGCCTTTTACAATGGTTTGTGTCTTTGCTTGTTACTCCATTTTCCTCCACAGCACCTAGGTTACCACATTGTGCGCCAGTAAACTGTGTTCAGACTGTGGGGCGCACATTTAACGAATCTTGAAATCAGTAAAAAATGAATCGAGTCATTTGACAAGTTGTTTCAGCCCTAGTTCAGTATTTGGGGGCCGAGGGAACCTTGCCTTTTGTCGCCCTCTTGTGTTAAAATAAGAAATTACACCTGTCAGATGGGCTGTCACGTTCCTTCTTACCGTTTCAAATCCTCTGTGAGGATGGTCAGGAAAACCTGCAGGTTTGCTCACTTTAAACTCATCCAGCATGAGAAAAGGATCCAGGTTCTTCAGCTGGAAGCATAAATAAATAAATAAATAAATAAATAAACAAATAAATAAATAAATATGTGAACTCTGAGGACTGGATTGAATAGTTTGCTGTTGAGGATCTTACTTCTCTCCTCCCAATGCTCCTGCGGACCCGAGCACCGACTCCTTCTGATTGCTCCACACTGAGAACAGTCTTTACCACCTTCCTCACATTCATGTTTACTGGGCAGAGCTTCAGCAGACACTGCAAAACACCAACTTGCCCCATAAACAATATGATTTCCGTTTTATATAAAATTAGATGATCAAACATATATTTGCTTTTGTGTCGTAAAACTACAGGAGGAAGTTAAAGTAAATCCATTATAAACATAAAGACACAATAAGGGTTATTTCTGGTTTTATAATACTGCTAATTTGGAGATCAGATCAGATCAACTGGTCGCGGCTTGCTGTAGTTCTTGCTGACGGTTTAGTTTAAACTAATTTTACTAGAATCAGTAAATCAATATTTTCATAGATGATCTCATCGTCGCAGTTTTGATCTTCTGCGACACTTCCGCCTGTTACATAACAACATTCCCTTCTATGCTAAATGGAGCCACTTAAAGTACCCACGGCTGCCACAAACATCACATATATAAGCATTTTAAAATAAATACGCCATATTATAGCTTTAGTATTTATTGCAGACCTTGGTTTTGACCATAAAGTGAGCAAAATTCACTGCTTCTACGTGAAATGCACTCACCTGCCTGAGCATAAAACCTTTCAACACGTTTATGTTCGTCTTTCACCTCAGAAAATGTAATTTAACCTGATCCATTGCCCCAACTCCCAAGATAAAATTACAAGGCGGAAGTCCAGCAGAGAGGGCGTGGCTTTGCGCATGACGGAGAATGGCAAAATAGGAGGGAGGAGGAGGACACGAATGTTTTCATTTTCTCTAAATGAATCTCCATAAATACTGGATGCTCAAATCGGTCTGAATTCTAATCTAATCAGCAAGTTAACACTCGGAGTGAGATTGTCTTCATGTTTGTTGTGAGTGTGTGTGTGTGTGTGTGTGTGTGTGTGTGTGTGTGTGTGTGTGTGTGTGTGTGTGTGTGTGTGTGTGTGTGTGTGTGTGTGTGTGTGTGTGTGTGTGTGTGTGTGTGTGCGTGTGTGTGTGGGTGGGTATGGGGGGGGGGGCGCATTGGTACTGGTCTGGCACATCGGTCTGGCAGAGTAAATAAACAAAGTGATATAGGCAGATTACTTTTTTACATTTAACTATGTAAGAAACACAATATGAATTAATTATGAGCAAAACATGAAATATATGAATAAAATGTGGAAAAACTATTTATTTTCACCTTACCATGGTGGAGGTGTTTGAGTGGCTCAATGATCCTAGGAACTAAGTTGTCTGAGGCTTTCTGCCTCTGGTAGGGTCACCCATGGCAAAACAGGTCCTGGGTGAGGGATCAGACAAAGAGCAGCCCGAAGACCTCTTACGATGAATTATATAAATGGAAACCGTGTTCCTTCGCCCAGACGTGGGTCACCGGGGTCCCCCTCTGGAGCCAGGCCTGGAGGTGGGGCACGTTGGCGAGCGCCTGGTGGCTGGGCTTTCACCCATGGAGCCCGGCCGGGCACAGCCCAAAGAGGAAACGTGGGTCCCCCTTCCCATGGGCTCACCACTCGTGGGAGGGGCCAAAGGGGTCGGGTGCAATGTGTGACGGGTGGTAGTTGAGGACGGGGACCTTGGCGGTCTGATCCTCGGCTACAGAAGCTGGCTCTTGGCACATGGAATGTCACCTCTCTGGTGGGGAAGGAGCCTGAGTTGGTGTGTGAGGTTGAGAGGTTCCGATTAGATAGAGTCGGACTCACCTCAATATGGCTCTGGCTCTGGAACCAGTTTCCTTGAGAGGGGTTGGACTTTCTACCACTCTGGAGTTGCTCCCACTGAGAGGCGCCGAGCAGGATGGGCATACTAGTTGCCCCCCATCTTGGTGCCTGTACGTTGGGGTTTACCCCAGTGAATGAGAGGGTAGCCTCCCTCCGCCTATGTGTGGGGGGACGGGTTCTGACTGTGGTCTGTGCTTATGCACCAAGCTACAGTTCAGACTACCCACCCTTTTTTGGAGACTTTGGAGGGGGTGCTGGAGAGTGCTCCTTCCTGTGACTCCCTTGTTCTGCTGGAGGACTTAAATGCTCACGTGGGCAACGACAGTGAGACCTGGAGAAGTGTGGTTGGGAGGAACGGCCCCCCTGATCTGAATTCGAGTGGTGTTTTGTTATTGGACTTCTGTGCCAGTCATGGATTGTCTATAATGAACACCATGTTCAGACATAAAGGTGTCCATATGTGCTCTTGGCACCAAGATACCTTAGGCAGCAGCTCGATGATCAACGTTGTTGTTGTTTCATCTGACCTGCGGCCGCATGTCTTGGACACTTGGGTGAAGAGAGGGGCGAAGCTGTCAACTGAACATTACCTGGTGGTGAGTTGGCTCAGATGGTGGGGGAGGATGCCGGTCAGACCAGGCAGGCCCAAACGTATCGCGAGGGTCCTGTCAGAAGGAGCTTCAATTCCCACCGCCGAAAGAACTTCCAAAATGTTCCGGGGAGGCGGGGGACATTGAGTCTGAATGGACCCTGTTCCATGCCTCCATTGTTGAGGCGGCCGACCGGAGCTGTGGTCGCAGGATCGTCGGTGCCTGTCGTGGTGGCAACCCCGGAACCCGCTGGTGGACACCGGAGGTTAGGGATGCTGTCAAGCTGAAGAAAGAGTCCTATCAGGTCTTTTTGGCCTGTGGAACTCCAGAGGCAGCTGACGGGTACCGGCAGTTCAAGCGGAACGCGCCTCGGGTGGTCGCCAAGGCAAAAACCCGGGCATGGGAGGAGTTCGGTGAGACCATGGAGCAAGACTTCCGTACGGCTTCGAGGAGATTCTGGTCCACCATCCGGCGCCTCAGGGGGGGAAAGCAGAGCGCTACCAACACTATTTATAGTGGGGACGGTGTGCTGCTGACCTCTACTCAGGACGTTGTGGATCAGTGGGCAGAATACTTTGAAGACCTCCTCAATCCCACCAACACGTCTTCCAGTGAGGAAGCAGAGTCTGGGGACTTTGGGTTGGCCTCTCAAATCTCTGGCGCTGAGGTCACTGAGGTGGTTAAAAAGCTCCTCTGTGGCAAGGCTCCAGGGGTGGATGAGATCTTTCCGGAGTTCCTTAAAGCTCTGGATGTTGTGGGGCTGTGTTGGCTGACGCGGCTCTGCAATATTGCGTGGACATTGGGGACAGTCCCATATGACTGGCAGACTGGGTTGGTGGACCCTTATTTAAATAGAGGGACCGCAGGGTGTGTTCCAACTACAGGGGGACCACACTCCTGAGCCTTCTTGGCAAGGCCTATTCAGGGGTTCTGGAGAGGAGGGTCCATCGGATTGTTGAACCTCGGATTCAGGAGGAGCAATGTTGTTTTTGTCCTGGCCGTGGAACACTGGACCAGCTCTATACCCTTAGGGGGGTCCTGGAGGGTGCGTGGGAATTTGCCCAACCAGTCTACATGTGTTTTGTGGATTTGGAGAAGGCGTTTGACCACATCCCTCGGGGGGCCCTGTGGGGGGTACTCCGGTAAAATGGGATACCAGGCCCTCTGATACGGGCTGCTAGGTCCCTGTATGACCAGTGTCAGAGCTTGGTCCGCATTGCCGGCAGTAAGTCGGGCTCATTCCCAGTGAGAGTTGGACTCCACCAAGGCTGCCCTTTGTCACCGATTCTGTTCATAACCTTTATGGACAGGATTTCTAGGTGCAGCCAAGGTGTGGAGGGCATTCATTTTGGTGGCCTGAGGATCAGGTCTCTGCTTTTTGCAGATGATGTGGCCTGGTTGGTTTAATCAGAACATGATCTTCAGCTTTCGCTGGAGCGGTTCGCAGCTGAGTGTGAAGCAGCTGGGATGAGAATCAGCTCCTCTAAATCTGAGACCATGGTCTTGATTCCGAAGAGGGTAGAATGCCTTCTCCGGGTCAGGAATGAGGTCCTGCCCCAAGTGGCGGAGTTTAAGTATCTCGGGGTCTTTTTCACAAGTGAGGGAATACTGGAGCGTGAGATTGATAGGCAGATTGGTGCTGCATCTGCAGTGATGCAGGCGTTGTACCGGTCTGTCGTGGAGAAGAGAGAGCTGAGTCAGAAGGCAAAGCTCTCGATTTACCGGTCGATCAACATTCCTACCCTCACCTATGGTCATGAGCTTAGGGTAGTGACCGAAAGAACGAGATCGTGGATACAAGCGGCTGAAATGAGTTTTCTCCGGAGTGGCTGGGCTCTCCCTTAGAGATAGGGTGAGAAGCTCGGTCATTCGGGAGGTGCTCGGAGTAGACCCGCTGCTCCTCCACATTGAGAGGAGCCAGTTGATGTGGCTCGGGCATCTGGTCAGGATGCCTCCTGGACACCTCCCTGGTGAGGTTTTCTGGGCACGTCCAACCGGGAGGAGACCTAAAGGTAGACCCAGGACACGTGGAGTGACTATGTCTCTCACCTGGCCAGGGAACGCCTTGGTATTCCCCTGGAGGAGCTGGCCCAGGTGGCTGGGGAGAGGGAAGTCTGGGCCTCTCGCCTTAGGCTACTGCCCCCGCAACCTGAGCGGATGAAAATGGATGGATGGCACTTAAAGATTAACTATATTTTAACAGACAGTCATGGCGATGGTGGCACAGGAGTTAAGTGCCCGTCCCGTAATCGGAAGGCGGTAGGTTCGAGCCTCGCTCAGTCTGTCGCTGTCGTTGCGTCTTTGGGCAAGACTCTTAACCCACGTTACCTGCTTGTGGTGGTCGGAGGGACTGGTGGCGCCAGTGCTTGGCAGCCTCATCTCTGTCTGTGCGCCCCAGGGCAGCTGTGACTACATCGTAGCTCATCCCCACCAGTGTGTGAAAGTGTGTATGGGTGAATGACTGTGTTGTAATGCGCCTTGAGGGGTTCCAAGACTCTAGAAGGTGCTATACTGTATCAAATACATGCAATTTACCATTTACCATGTCACAGAATGTCTTTTAAATCAGGAAGCTTAACCCTCCCACTGAGGAGTGAGCACCACCTCACCCCTGCCACGTGGACCTCAGGGGATAAACCATCAACCCTGCTCAATGGTCAACCTTCCTCGTGGGGTTACCCATTAGAACAGTGGGAGGGTTATAGCATGCAGGGGGTCAGTTATTGCAGAGAATGTGTTTTGCCAGTTTTACCCTCAGGGTTAAATACTGTTGGACTGCTCTACGGTTGTAGTGCTGTAGCTAGCTGCTAATGGTTGCTGCTTTAGCTCGTTTTCAGCATGGGGGGGGGGGGGGGGGGGGGGGGGGGGGGATTTGAGAGCACGTGAAGACAATTTGTGTGTTTCACGCTCATTGGGAGTTGGCAGCCTTGTTTATACGAGTAAGGACATGCAGAGTAAAACATGGTCAATAAAGCTTTTAATGCACTTTTCTGGTCATGGTGAACATTATGATGCACTTTATTTATGGAAACACAGCAGCCATTCATTTCCTTGTTCTCTTTGTTCTAGTGTGTAATTCTGGAGAGTTGCTCACCTGGACAGAGCCACACAAATGAACATACTGCCCTTTTACCCTAATAGCATGTTTTTGGACTGTCAGAAACCAGAGTACTTGGAGATAAGACACTCTTGCACAGGAGAACATGTAAACTCCAAATTGAGTCCTAGTATTGAATTGAAAGACATTTTTGCTGCAGAACCAGTCTAACTGTGCCACCTCTCAGCCCTAAACACATTAATTTGAAGCTATTAGTAAGTAAAATGTATTTACAGAGCACCTTTTGCAGATAAACTCTGTACAACATAGGTAAACACTGGATGAAATGATCAAACATGGAGGATCTTTGGACCCAACACATTGTAGCTACACAAGGAATATGACTCCAAATAAAGCATCATGAAAATCCGAATCATCATAAACAAGGAACATTTGCCATAACATCAACAGATGTTTAAACAAAACCAAACAATTAATGAGAGAAGGCCTGGTTTAACAGGCAGGTTTTCAAATGTGTTTTGAAAACCGGTGATGACTCAGAGTGATGGAGTTTCAGGGGCAAATCGTTCCACAGTCTGGGAGCTGGTGTCTGCTCCCTTAGTTCTAGTCTAGTGTGTGGGACAGCTAGCAGGTTTTGAGATGTGGAACGAAGGTTGCATAAAGCCGTATGTAGGGATAAAATCTGTGTTCAGGTAGTCAGGTGCCTGGTCAATCAGAGATCTGTAGGTGAGCACTTGATCCATCTGAGTTCTGTAGGGTCATAGCCAGAATAGTCCTTGCATCTGTTGTATATATTCTTCTGTTTTGGATTTTCCTCCTTTCATGTCAGAAACTAATCCGCTGTTCTGGTTCTGATGGTGAATGATGTCTTTAGATATCCGCATGCTAGCAGCCTGCCCACCAGCCAGGTTTACAGCATGAGGTCCAACCTGCATGTAAAGATAGGAAAAATAACTTTCTGTGGTTCTGTAGCACGTTGCACAGTTAAACATTAAGGGTGAGCTAGAGCCTACTTGAAGAGCTGAGTATTGCCCCATCAGATAAAGTGGGCAGTCTTCTGTCCACTTTAAACCATCTGTTATACAAGGCCATCCATCTATCACCTTCCCAGCAGCACAGAACAGACACATTTAATCAAACTTTAAAATGAACCTGAATTGGACCAAATCATAAAAAGTTTATTTTAAATGAGCCATTCTATAAGATGCTAGTTTTGTTCTGCATTTGTATACTCCGTTTTAGCTTTTCCTACCTGAATTGGGAATTCTCTCATCACCTCTGAAAGAAGCGGGTCTTGTCTGACATCAAGTTTGCAGCCTGTGGCGAGCCAGATGGTGTCACCTGTCCAGCGGTCCCCAGAGCTGAGGGACAGATTCCAGGTTTGGGTCCTGTAGCACCAGCTGGCCTCATTCACCTGTACATTCAAAGGATTAAATGAACTGTCATCACTCACAGGACTGAGTAGGACAGCAGTGAGCCCTGTAAAAATAATGCTTTGGTAAAACAAGATGTTGTTCAATGCGTACAAGCTCCTCCCATTACTGGGCAGTGGAGGCCGAAGACCACGATGAGACAAAGCTGCGGACTATTCGGATGCGTGGGGATTCCCACACCCTCCCACCTGCCTCACGTTCGATTGTGTTGTGACTGAATATGTGCTTTCATGTTTCTGGTGCTTTTCCTTCTTTACTCTGTGAACTGTAGGGGGCAGAGCAGGGCCAAATGTTCATTTCTCCTTCATCCCTCCCCACCCTTGTGTCACCCATTTCTTTATCTACAGAATGGGAGCGCCGTAAAGGCTTCATGCCCACAGTCAACCATTTTTTTCCAATTTACGTGTTTTATTTGCTGTATGTCTGTTCTTGGAAAGGTTGCACTGAAACTACATTTCATTGTTCCAGCAAGCTGGTACCATGACAAACAAAGCTATCCTATCCTTATCCTTATTTGATGTAGGAGCCATTTTGAACAGGGTCATCATCTCAGTGGCAGAGCTAGGATTTTTCAGAGTATGGGGCCATCAAGGGACCAAAATATTTATAGAGGGGCCAAGTATTAGTCCAACAACCTTACACAAGATTTCATGCTAGAAATTCCTATTTGCTCATTATCGGCACTAGTGTTTGAAGTTGGAATTGCACCCACCGATTTGATCATTGTGCAATGGATGTGTGTCTAAAGTTTAGTAACAGTTTATGAGAAAATATGACAGACCAAAACACAGATAAAAGTATCATATTTCGTCCTGAAGATAATGAGCTCTTAGCTGAAGTTTAAGTTTAAAGGAAGTGAACAGAAAACAGTTACCTGACAGAATGTTTTGAGCTCCACCTGTCCATTCTGTATGAAAGGCTGCAGGTGGACGTAGGCCTCTGGGGTGATGGCCCCTCCTTTCCTCGCCTGGCGAATCATAGTCAGACGTTTGTGCAGACTCCGCTCGTTGTAAAACTGCCGTAAGTAGGCTTGGCCATCCAATTTGATGCCATGCTCCACGTGAGAGTAGCGACCCACCAGGCTTTCCACATCACCCACATCGAACTGTTTCAGCTGCAGAATGAAACAAAAGTCGAGCTGTTGTGTTTGGAGATAAAATGTGTAGCTAGTGGGGTTTGTTATTGTTTGATCTACATGCTGTTTCACACAGTCACAAGACCTGCAGGTGTTTTCTCATGACCCATGTCACTTGGCCGGCCCCCTGCTGCAGGGCAAGTGAGACGACATGAGCGCTGGTCAGCCCTCCACCAACTACCATTACTCTCTGTCCTGCCTCACATACTAGTCATAGACACACATAAGCACACGGGGCTTGTAAAGGAAAATCATGGCCAAACACGAGTGATGAACTCAAACTGAAATCTGGACGGGCACTGAGGTTTTCAGTTGAAAACAAAGCATAGAATTTCACACCTTTTGGTCTCACTTGCAAATTTTTATGAAGTTACACAATCTGTAGGAAGCAAAATCTAACTTACCTCCGCTGAAAAGGTCTTTGCTTTGTTTTTGACCATTTGTTTCTTTGAGATTTTGCTTATAGTTTGGTTTCTGATGCATGAGACGGACAGTGTGTTGTAAACGCTCTTCTGGATACATCTCTTCAATGTGTTTGACCCACGTAGGGATGTTTGACATTTGAGCACGGGTTGGACCTGTTGCCATAACAACTCGTCTGGCTTTTAAAATTTTGCCGTCTTGAAGATGAACTTGAAAATATTTAACTCTCCTCCTGGATCCACCTTCTTTGCTTCCAGTGTCCATGATGGGTGTGTCACTTGTGTCTTCTTCCCTCTCTTTTGGTGTCTCCTCAGTCACAGGAACAATTTGTTCCACGGTTCCTTTCTGCAGGATTTTGTCCAACTTGTATCTCTCCACCTGCAGGAATCAGATGAAACACTTCTGATTGTTCACCGTTGATAATAATATTAATAATAATACATTTTATTTGAAGTGCCTTCTAAAAACTAGGTCTCGGTACTGTAAGGAGGAAAAACACATCACAAACAAGCACAACAGAGAAAAACAATTACAGTGAATGACAAGTTGTAATACTGAGAAAAAAACAAATAAATGTGAAACATGTAAATAAAGTTGCAGGAAATAGGTGAGTATTTGAGTTTAGCCTTAAAATGGTGAAGGGTAGTTGTATTCCTGAGTTCAGCTGGTAAGGGATTCCAAAGGGATGGCGCAGAATGCTCGACTTCGGAGGTGGGAATTGAAGCTTCTTCAGACAGGAGACCCCGCCAGATGTTTCCAGCAGAACCTCACAATACGTTTAGACCTGCTAGGTCTGACCGGCTTCCTCCCCCACCATCAAAGCCAACCCACCACCAGGTAGTTGAAAGCCCCGCCCCTCACTTCACCCAAGTGTCCAAGACATGTGGCCGCAGATCAGATAAAATGCAACAAAGTCGATCACCAATAGCCGCTTAAGGCATCCTGATTTAAATACGGACACCTTTTTGCCTAAACCTGATGTTCATTATGGACAATCCACGATGAGCCCAGAAGCCCAAAAACGAAACATCGCTTGGACTCTGATCAGGGGGGGCCATTTCTCCCAGCCCCACCTGCCAGCTCTCACTGTTGTTGCCCACATGAGTGTTGAAGTTCCCCAGGAGAACATATCCCCTCATTTGATTTTGGAGTTAAGCTCATGAAGTCGGGTATCAAACCGACTGAAGAGTAGAAGCTGTTTCATATGGGCACGGGTATAAATCAACATTTTGCAACTGTTAAAAAATAAAATAAAACCACAATTAAAAATGCAAACAAAAGGGAACTTATATGATATAGTAAACCCATCTTTTAGAAAGCAGCTTTGATTCTCTCTAATAAATCAAACATTCCATTTGAAAAGAAAAATTTTGACCTGATCTTTAAAGAAATCCACACTAAGTTTGGTTCCCGGTAGACTTAACGACAAAGTCTTCTTCAGAGAAGATTTGATGTTCAGACGTTTCTTCTCTTTCTTTCCCAGCCGCATGTCGTTGAAGAATGCATTTTCATCCAGGATGTAAATCTGCTCTGGAAGACTGTGGAGCTCATCCCACCGGTCGTGTTTGAGCGCAAACTCCTGAAGCGAATTCTGTCAGAAAAAGCAAACCGTGCAAATCTGGTGTTGATTATATTTTTGACCAAATGGGAGAAATCAGTTTTTTATTTATACTTTCAGGGATTCATTTTTGAGTTTGTACCTTATTGAGAGGGTCTGTGTGCACCAGTGTGTGAGAGCGCAGGTGAGGGATGTTCAAAGCTGTAAACTGACTCTCCCACAGACCCGTCCACTCTCCGTAGGTGTCCACCACCAGGACAGTGAGTGAGGGGGGGGCTGCCCACTCTGATGATGTGTTCACCTCCTCCATCATCTGACCTGCAGACATCAATTACAGATGAATGAACAACAATCCCATCAACACAAACTAATCTTCAGAGCTCTAAAACAGCCCAAACTTCACAATTTTACCCATCCTTAACATTTTTGAACGAAAAAAAATCTATTTGGCTGATTGTCTGTGAAGTTATTTTTTTTGGTCTTTATTTGTAATCAATCAAAGTTACACAATTAAGTGTATATTGAAAAAAAATAATGATTTAATTTGTAGTTAAACTGCACTTTTCATTTGACTCATAATGCAACATAGATTGTGTGGATTAGTTTTGCCCGTAAATCATTATTTTTGTTGTTAACATAACGAGCTAAGACACAATATAAACTTCAAACACGAGGAGTCAAGTGGAAATTTACTCATGTCAAAAATGTTTGAAACAGCAGCAACAAAAGAAACAAAAACAGCACAAAAAGAGGTATTAGTATTAAAATGCCTGTAGTTGTATGGGATGACGTTTACTTGGAGCAAAATTAGCGGTTGTGCTGAATGTGGTGTGTTTTGTACCTGCAGAGCCAACACACCCTTAAAAAGACAAAATCAGGAAGTGTCGTGCGTGTCATCCTGTGTCCTTTTCCATATCCCCTCTCCCTTTTCTCCCCAGCATTCATTTTAGCTCTGCTCATTGTCTGTCCTTGACCTTTGAGCCTGTGTTCTCTTAGATGTTGTTTCCCCCATACTGGTTATTCCTTCAGTTTAATGTTATTATCCTTTTGATCTTCAATTAGTTTTCTGTTACTCATTCATTCCCTGTTCGTGATTTAAACCCAGTTCAGTCCTCCACTCACCGTCGGTTCCTTGTGTGTGAGTGCATCATTGTGTGTTTTTAATCCTCCTGTTCATGTTCCTTCACAGCTTTTACAAACAGTTTTGGCTACCTGGCTGCCTAACCCTTTGAGTCCATCTACCACTTCAAACCCAGACAGAAAGTATTAATTCTTGAAAACCAAGGGTACTAATTAGCTTTACTACAAGGAACTGATTAAAGAAGTATTAGCTAATTGAAAAACATGATGGGCAGAAGGTAGGGAGGGAGTAGCTGAGGCAAACCTTCTCCTAAAATATTGAGTCCTCCCTTTTATGATTAATATCTTGCCATTAATAATGTCTATGTTTCTGTGAGTCACTGAAAAAAGTATATTGAATAAAATGTTTGAAAACTAAAATCTATTAACCCTCTCAGGCTCAGAATAAGTTTTGATAAAAGGACCAACAACCAAGTCCTTCAAGGGTACTTCTGAGTTCAAAACTGCTCATGAAATTTAGTAACCAGGTAGGTTTTAACGTTGCAAATCTGCAACGCCTGCCTCCAGAGGGTTAAGGCATTTTGCATAAGTTGGAAGGAAGGTCCTTTCCCTCCCTCTTTTACTGTGTTTCATCAACATCAGTTGCTTATTACCTTTATTACCTCATCAAATGATTTGTCAGATTAGATTTGAGGGTAAAGTGTATCATTCAAGAGCACTGTACCAGCAGTGGTTCTTCTCTTCCTTCTGCCAGTGAAGAGTTTGTTTTTAGAGTTTTCAGGACCTGCCTGAGACCTGAGAGGGTCAGAGCTGGAGCTGGAAGTGGAGAAGGGAGGGTCTCCTTCATGGTCAGAGTCTGGTTCAGGGTCAGGGCTGGACAGCAAGCTCGCCAAGGTCAAGGCATGAGGGCCACCGCCTATTATTAACACATCGAGCATGACCGTCTGAAACATCCAGAATGAGAGAACACACACACACACACACACACACACACACAAAAGGAAGGACAGAGATAAATCGCTCATGTTTTATAATCAATTGGAAAAAAACATGTTTACAATTTTGGACTGAGCCACAATGCCGTCTCTCTGTGGCTTTGATTAATTGGTACATTATCAGGAAGTGATTTGAAGCAAATTCACAGCATTTCGAAATTTATTTATATTGCAAACACAGAGTGTCGGGCAGATTTACACCAAAATAAAAGCAACCACAGCTTCTCTTAGACAAACACCATCATGCTCAGAGTAAATCATTAGACCAGAGTACCTGTTTGGGTCTTCACCTTTTAGAGGAAATCCAAATGCTTTCAAAACGGAAATACAGCCGTGGACGTTGGTGCACATGAAATTTAGCAACTGTGACATGTGTCTCTCATGTAACCTAATCTGTTCTTGCTTGAACTTCTCTGGCTCAAGAGGGAACGCTGAAAATAACTCCAGTATGTGTGCTTGTGCAAAAACACAGCTTGTCATAGTAATAAAGCATCAAAGTTGTTCATTCGCAACTTAACTGGAACCAAAGCATTTTCAGAATCAACATGTTTTATTTAAGCTCAATCAATCAAAACTCCTCTGGAACACTGAAATTTGTTCAACTGTCAAAGTTTTTTTTATTTTTTATTTTTTGTAAAAAGCAGATTTGAAACATGAAGAAAGAATTTTCTTTAAACTAAAAAGGTTTCAAAATGTTGCTGTTTTGTAAATCAAATTTCTAAAACAATACACCACTTATATTATTGAATAATTGTAATTATGAATAAGTGCAATGTTCGGCCCACTGGGAGAAACTTTTCACAGATTTTAGAAAAAGTACATCTGAGTTTAATAATTCAGCCCAAGTCACCTCAGTATGAAGCAGCAAGTCCAGTTGTTATCAGAATCTGATCGAAGCAGTTTGGTTGTAATGATAGAATTCGAGTTGCATTGATAAAAAACACATTCACAAAATATTGTTTTCATTTCTACTTTTCAGTTCAACATTAGTCTTAATTTCATATTCTTACATTCTTCTGTGCAGTTGATGGTTGCAAAAATTGGAGAAGTAAATATCTAGTGATGGACTTTTGTTTTTCACAAGAGATTTTCATTCTTTGCTAAGTTCACAGGATGCTGTGTGACATAGACCACTACTTTGTGATCTTTCAGTTCGAACGACAGTTGATAAAAACGATAATAATCAAATTCACATCTAATTTACTTCTATATTTTGAATAAGTTCTGTTTTCTGAATAAATAAACTGTTGTTTCTGATCAAATGTTTATTCTGCTCACTTCCTCTTTAGAAACTAGTTCCCCATCCAGAGCAGTACTGATGGCGCCTCTGTCCCACTTCCTCTTGTGCTCAGCAGACCTATAAAAATGCTGAAAGTTTTGAAAAGCCGCTGTTTTCTTCTGCCTTTGACATCGCCCACAGCAGATGAGTGTCAACATGGACATGAAGGTGGGTGTCTGTTATACAACACAGCGCTGTATGAGAGATCTTTTGTTTAAAACTCTTGCTTTTCTTTAAGGATTCTCTGGTTAACGGAGGTGTGATCATAACACACCAGATCCGCGAAGGGAAACATCACTATGAAGTGGAAAAGGTGATGAAGTATAAAAAAGAGAGCGGGAGAAAAATGTTCGTCAGGTACGAGTCACACTCTTTCAGCATAATCTTTTTAATCTTCAAGTTTATTGTTGTAAATAAATCTGATACTTGATTTATGGCAGAAACAATTAACATTTGTTTAATGGCTTTTAAAACCACTAGTGTTACTCTGGTTCAGCTGGCTCACCTCAGCTACAAAAAATAGTCACTTCAGTCAGTTTGATTTCAAGATTTGATTAAGTTTGAGGAGTAATTTGTAAAACTGTTCCCTTTTATGCATTTTTCAGGAGAGGTGATAAGCTGATGGAGATAAATGGTGTTGACCTGCAGGATCTTACTCCCGAGGAGTTTGCCCAAAGAATCTCTGAAGGGATTCCGATGCTGGTGAGTGAGCCGTAACCCTCTTTGAGGCAAGGACGTCAACACTTCCTTTGTTCTGTGTAAATCTTTCAGTTGTTGATGTAGAGATAATAAAATAAAGATCCGAAACAAATGACAAAGTAGAAATGCAGAAATGTTTTACTGCGGTGGCAAGATGGGGCCAGTGAAAGTTTGAAGGTGGTGCATTTAAAATGTCCTTGTGGCAAATTCCTAATGATGTGGAAGCGCTCACTTGCTTGACAATGAAAGAAAATCAAACATACTGATGTGATTCTGATTAAGCCTTTAGCTGTGCACTGCCTTCTCCTTCATTCTTTGTCAATAAAAACAACGTGCATCCAACTCATTCACTTCAAATTTGAGAAAAAACAATAATAATAAAAAATTTTATCTTAGCTATTGCAACTAGGGGTAGACCGATATATTGGTCGGCTGATATATCAGGATGATATTTACCATTTTTTATACATCGGCAATATTTGCTGATTTAAAGTCAGGCACATCCTCAGGCAGCCTGGTGCACTTGCAGAATGTTGTTTCAACGTATGTTTACGATCACTAATAACATCTGCATAATAAATACTCTAAATTAACTTTATTTAGGTGTCTGATTTTAACACTGAGAAGTGCGCAAAGTTAAGATTGAAAAGTTATTTAAACAGAGTTGAAAAACTGATTCAGCATCAGAAATTGTGTGCATCAACTAATGCTATCAGTGATAGTTAAGCATGAAAATAAGATGAAAATGCTTAAATTGGCCATGAAATTTGACTCAAAAATCAGCAATACATATCGGCCATTGGCTGACCATGTCTGCAACGTATGGGCATCAGTATCACAACAGAAAAAACAATATCGCTCGACCTCTAAATACAATTATCCTCATTTCAACGTTTATTGTTTAGTCATTTTAGAACTGTTTAATTTGCTTGTTGCTGTCTTTCATTTAGAAAATGGAAAGCATCAGCAACATAAACACACACACACACACACACACACACACACACACACACACACACACACACACACACACACACACACACACACACACACACACACACACACTCACACACACACACACACACACACACAGGAAAATAAGTATTTTAACACCCTGCGATTTTGCTAATTCCACTTCGATATTATGAAGGGGTCTGAAATCCACATTGTTGTTGCATTGCCCCTGTGAGAATTAGAATTTTAAACAATATAAATCATGTAGGATGATTTTTAAACAATTTATTTGTATTGCACTGTTGCACAAGTGTTTGAACTCTGGCTGTCAAAGACCTGTTACTCTGCTTTTAAAAAGTCCAGATTCTCTCCACCTATTATTCTGGATGAGTAGCACCTGTCTGAGTTTTTTAAAGACACCTCTCCACCACAAAAGTTCTTCAGAACCAGGAGTGGTCCTAGGCTATTTGATGCCCTGGGCAACAATGGATACATGGCATACATTGACAATAGGAGACAAATCAGCAATAGACATAATAATGTTTAGGTTAACAGCTAAATATTTTTATGCTTAAAAGTCCAAAACATTAAATAAACCATAACAGTGTCTAATCTGTCTTGTTAACTGTCAGCCAAATGGCTAAAATAAATAAATAAATAAATAAATAAAAATACTCTGTAAAAAGAAGTTTTCCCCTACTGTAGTTTTGGGAGGAATTAAACACGTAATATCTGCCATTATTATGAAACATCTTCTTGCTTACTTGGGTCTTTTACTCTTCTCTCCTCGTGTTTTCTTTAACCCCTCTGGGTCTTTTACCTTTTATTTTCTGTCTTTAAACTGTTACTTTTGCACTCAGTATCACCCCCCAAGCTTAGAACAGCATAAACTAATATTAATGATCTACACACTCCAGTGAGCAGATTCACACAACCCAGGAATATCTTTTTTAAAGGTATGGATTACTCGTTTAACCCTCCCACAGTATGGGTGACCCCGCGAGGAAAGTTGACCATTGAGCAGGATTGATGGTTTATCCCTTGAGGTCCACGTGGCAGGGGTGAGGTGGTGCTCACTCCTCACCCCTGCCACATGGACCCGAGGGACAAACCATCAACCCTGCTCAATGGTCAACTTTCCCTGCGGGGTCACACCCATTAGGGCAGTGGGAGGGTTAATCAATACCTGCAGTGGTCCCTATGAATGCATTGCAGAAAGAACTCAGGGTACAGAAAGCCCACAAACCCCTGACCCAGCAGGACCAAGTCTGCGATGTCAGTGCTGTGCTTCAAACGGGAGAATTACATGAGTTTCACATCTGGTACAGCCCGGCCCAGCCCGCATTGCATATATTGTTTCCATACCTGAGTGGCCTGGTACTTTTCCCCATCCAACCAGGCCTTTTTTCGTCTCTTATTCACTGGTGGTCTGCTCAGGGCTGATCCGGGGCAACACGTCCACTACCACTTATTGGTCAGCTCAAATACAGGCCTACCTTTAGGGGGAGCCTCCGACTGGTGTGTAGAATCAACCAGCGAGGGCTTCCTGCATGCGCGATTCATTATTATTCAGGATGTTGAGACATAAATGTTGCCTCTGCCTGAAGCTGCGGCAGCTCTCTGTCTCTTTCTTACTGCTGTGAGGAGAGCACACACACACACACACACACACACACACACACACACACACACGTTCAAGGCCACCTTTGTTTAAAGGAGACACAACTGACTTTTTCCGCATATCCTTTGACCCGACCATGTGCTGGGAGATTTCCCCGTTCCTGAGAAGTGTGTGTAAACAAACCCTTTCAGTGCAGGAACCGGACCAATGCCACCCAGCCCCATCTGTGCTGGCCCAAATCAGAAATTGCCATTAGTGTGGGATCTTATTTCCTGATATTTAGACATCTTGCCTTGGATAACAGCAACGTGACTCTACCACTAACTCTGTTCACTCGGGGACATGGATGTTATATCTCTACAAATAACATGCCTGGAGGAGCTTCAGTCTTGTGTTTGAGTTGCTAATGCTAGTGGTTAGCTTCTGTTGAAAGAGAGTTCTCTGCTGATTCTGGACCATCAATATACATACTGGACATTTAATTTCCATGGGCATGAATTACAAGGTTTTGTTTCCAAACAAGAGGTTCCTACCACCACCATTTTGACCGTGTCACATGTTTTGTCCTGCCCAGACAATCTAAAAATGGGAAAAGAGGTTGGAACTATTGCGTTTGGAACAGGGTTGGAACTAATTAATCACTGTTGCCACTAACTAACTTAGCTAACTCAAGAAGAGCTGCGCACTACAGTGGACCGCCAAGCCGTCAAGCTGGAATCGCTGATGGAGACGGTTCTTCAGATGTCCGCCGCGCTCAAACGCCAGGCCTCCACTCCCAGCGACAAAAATGAACCACGTTTCAGCCTCCCAGACAAGTGGGATGGAAGCAGAGGATCGTCTGAAGGGCTGCTTGCCACCCTGGGGATGAAATTCAAATGTCAACAGGCCCGCTACTCCACCTCCTGCTCCCGGATCGCCCTGTTGACCTCCCTGCTGACCGGCCAAGCCCAGGAGTGGGCCGTGGCCCTCTACCACCAGAAATCTCCTGTCTGTAATAGCTATGAGATTTTTGTGAAGGAACTGAAGAAAGCCTTTGCACACCCCAGCTGGGAGGTTGCCGATGAGACTCGACTACTCCAACTCCGCCAAGGCTTCCAGACGGTGGCCCACTATACCTCCTGGTTCCGGAATACAGCAGCCCAATTGACGTGGGATGACGCCGCCCTAAAGGCTGTGTACCTGGAGGGGTTGTCCCCACAGATCCGTAAGGGGATGATTGGACACGAGGCCCCGGATATTCTGGACGAGGCAGTGGATCTCACCCTTCAACTCGATCGCTTCCTCCTTACCCGTCCATCCAGACATCACTCCAGATTGCTAAACCACTTGAAAGCAGAAGAACCCATGCGGTTGGGCCACATCCCTCCCAAGGAACGGGTGCGCCAATACCAGGAGGAACGAGCGCCTACTGCGGGGCCCTGGGCCACCACCGGGTGATGTGCCCACTAAGGCTGGCAAACAACACCTCCGAGTTGGAGAGGGAGCGATCCTGCCCAGAGCCACCATATTGCCCGCCCCACACCGCACCATGCTCCCGGTCACCCTCCCGCTAGACCAAGGCCCGGTTTTGCGGGAGGCCCTCTTCGACACCGACACAGCGGATTGTTTTATTGACCAACACCTGGCCAGCCACCTCCAGATACCTCTCACAGCACTTGAACAACCAGTGGAGGGCCACCCAATCGAGCTCTACCCATTCTGTCAAAGAACAAAAGAGTTGCATATGACCATCAGCCAGCATGTGGAGACCCTCCACTTCCTTGTCATTCGTGCACCCTCTACCCCGCTCATCTTAAGTCATTCCTGGTTCTGTCGCCACGAGCCTCACATCTCCTGGACCACTGGAGGGGTGCTTGCTTTGGGAACGGCTTGCTCAACACATCGAGCCCCTCAAGACCCCCTAACCAACTCAAATCCATCTGGTGTAGTGGACCTCAAGCTTATTCCCCCTCAAGATCATGATGTGGCCCAAGTTTTTGCAAAACACCCGACCACCAGGCTGCCACCGCACTGACCATATAGCAATCAGATTGCAACCTGGGACTCATGACCACTGCCCTGGACTCTGTCTCTCAATCTGTTCTCTTCACCAGACTGGACATTTGTAGTGCCTACAACCTGGTCCGGTTCAAGGAAAGAGAGGAGTGGAAGGCCGCCTTCATTACTCCAACTGGCCACTATGAGTATTTGGTCATGCCTTTTGGCCTATGCAACAGCCCAGACGTGTTTCAGCAGTTCATCACCTATGTCCTGCAGGACATGCTAGGACATTGGGTCTTTGTGTACCTGGAGGATATACTCATCTACTCCCGTACCGCCAAGGAACAATCGTCAGAGCTGTTGTTTCCCGCTTACTGGACAATAATCTTTACTGCAAACTGGAGAAATGTGTCACGGTCTGCCCCTGCCTCCCTGACTGTCTCTCTCCTGCCCTTGATTAGTCCTTATTGCTTTCACCTGCCCCTTGTTTACCTGCCCATGTGTTCCTCATTTGCCCTGTGTATTTATACCTCCCTCCTTGTATCAGTCTTTGTCAGATCATTGTGGTTGTTTGTCATCGTTGTCTTGTGCTGTTCATTTCCGTCCCACCATTAAAACCATTTTACTTTATCTGAAGCCTGCATCTTTACCTCCTGACCTGCTCCACCACACATGGTCCATCATCTCCACACCCGCAACGTGACAAAATGCTCCTTTCATCAATAGAACACCTCCTTTATGGGTTTCACTATGGAACCCCAGAGGTCCAGGCGGTGGCCCAATGGCCACCTCCTACTACTCTGAAACAGCTGCAAAGCTTCTTGAGCTTCGTCAATTTTTATCGCTGCTTCATCTGCAATTTCAACTTCATAGCAGCCCCTCTCACAGCCCTCACCAAATCCACTTATCAACCTCACTTATTCCGACTCCCCTCCGAGGCCACCCAAGCCTTTCACGACCTGGTACGTCGATTTGTCAGCGCCCCGATCCTTCTCCACCCTGATCTGTCCCGACCCTTCATCGTCGAAGTGGATGCCTCTGAGGCCGGTGCCGTGCTGTCCCAATGAGGCTCTGGGCTCCGAGCGCTAAAACAACAACAGCCTTCCCCATCGTGAGTCAATATGGGGAAGTCCAATTCACAATGTGATGTAGATCTGTCAGGATTTTCAAATCCTAGAGTTTCACCATCTATTTTCTATCAGAAGCTAATGTAGAAGATAGGTGTGGGAGAATATTTTCATGTTCAGCCTACATTAAAAACTCAGTGACCAATTATAATCAGAAATCCTGATTTACAGAAAATGTCACCCATACCTTTAATGTTATGGGCTTGGACTGACTATTATGAATGAAATGTGTTTTATTTGGAAGCAGTAACCAGCATAATGTATTTTATTGACTAATTAGATACACAATATAATCCATCTCTGTCCCAAGGCATGAAAAAGACAGAGTAAAGGAGCCTACACCTATTAATAACCCCCCCCCCCCCCATAATGCCACCCTGTGCAATTCAGAATCTGAATCAGAAGTTTTTATTGCCATATATGTGTCGAGTCACAACATTAGGGAATTGCTGCGGTATTTTGGTGCAGAAGGTGAGATAGAAAAAAAAATTAATCAAGAGATAAGCAAATATAAGAAATAATAAAACACTCATGATAAAATTATTAATGTAAAAAGTGGCAAGAATTAGAGAAGCAGCTATCTACTCCGTGTAGGTATTAATCTGAGTGTTTGCTGAATGGTTCAAGCACAGCATCGGGTCACGTGACTGGGACCAATCAACTTGAGTGGGCTGCCCTAGGATTTTCATTCAAAAGTCCAACTGCAGAGGGGAAGAAACTGTTTTTGTGACGAGAGGTTCTGGTCCGAAAGGATCTGAGCCTTCTGCCAGATGGGAGCAAGTCAAAGAGACTGTGTCCAGGGTGACACGAGTCAGCTATTATCCGACCTGCACGCCTCAATGTCCTAGAGGTGTACAGATCTTGAATGGAGGGGAGTTTGCAGCCAATGACCTTCTCTGCAGAGCGCACGACACGCTGCAGCCTCTTCTTGTCCCTGGTGGTAGCTCCAGCGTACCACACGGTGATGGAGGAGGTGAGGGTGGACTCGATGATAGCGGTGTAGAAATGCCTCATTGACTGTGGTGATAGGTTGAATTTCTTCAACTGCCTCAGTGCTGGGCCTTTTTTCTGATGGTGGTGATAGTGGGCTCCCATTTGAGGTCCTGGGTGATGGTGGTGCCCAGGAAGCGACATGAGTCCACCACCGTGATGGGAGTGTCAGACAGGTTTAATTGCCCATGTCACAAGTCAAAAAAGGGGGCCCCTTGGGGGTGCCACAGTAGAAATGCATGAACATGTGGGTAATGTTAGTAAGTCTAATAATAATAAGAGTACTGAAGAATTTATTGAGTCAATGTATTGTATGGGATTATTTCCCCTGATAACAAGACCGACGAGAATAACCACTCATGGTGCAACTCTATTAGATAATATTTTTACAAATGTAATGGAAGAAAATATAAAAGCTGGGATATTGATAAATGATATAAGTGACCACTTACCAGTTTTTGTAACTTATGACTGTTGCTATAAAGTTCATAGAAATGTATGTAAGATGATATTTAAAACAATTAGAACAGAAAAGGCAATGCAGTGTCTCAAAAATGAGTTGATAAAACAAGATTGGACTATTGTATATAAACATAAGGATGTCAATAAAGCCTATGAGGCATTCTTAAGTATATTCATGGCCTTATTAGAGAAAAATAGCCTACTTATTGAAGTCAACAGGAAAGACAAATATACAGGAAGACCATGGATGACGAAGGGACTGCAAAATGCCTGTAAAAAAAAGAACACCTTATATAGAGAATTCATTAAAAAGAGAACTACAGAATCTGAAAAGAAATATAAAAAGTATAAAAATAAATTAACTAACATAATGAGAACTTGTAAAAAAGAATACATCAAAAAGTTTGAAGATAATAAAGATAGCATGAAAGGGATATGGAATGTATTGAATAGTATAATAAAAAATGCACCAAGGACTAATGACTACCCTGGGTATTTTATGGAAGGGACAAATACTATTAGTAAAATGAACGAAGTAGTAGATGGATTTAATCATTTTTTTGTACATATAGGGCCAAAACTAGCCGCGGAAATAAAGGTTGATATGATAGAAAGGGAGACTGGAGGAAACATTGAAAGGAATGCAAGTTCAATGTTTTTAAGAGCAGTGGAAGAGAAGGAGATATATGATATTGTCAGTGGACTTAAGAACAAAACAAGTACTGACTTCCATGATATTGATATGTTAACAGTAAAGAGAGTAATTGATGGTATTGTAAAACCACTACAATATATTTTTAATTTGTCTTTCCAGGAAGGGGTTTTTCCACAAAAAATGAAAGTAGCAAAAATTATTCCCATTTATAAATCAGGTGAAAAGCATTGTTTTACAAATTATAGACCAGTGTCGGTACTCTGCCAGTTTTCTAAGATACTGGAAAAACTATTTCTAAAAAGACTTGATAACTTTGTGGAAAAACATGATCTGTTGGCAAATTGCCAGTATGGGTTTAGAAATAACAGATCAACAGTTTTGGCATTGATGGATTTAATGGAAGAAATAACTGAATGTATGGATAACAAGAAGTATGCACTTGGAGTTTTTCTAGATCTAAAAAAAAGCATTTGATACCGTTGACCACAAAATTTTAATAATCAAACTGGAGAAATATGGGTTTAGGGGTGTGGTATTGGATTGGATAAAAAGCAATGTGATGAATCAACAGCAATATGTACAAATAAAAGAGTTTAAATCTAACTTGATGGATATTGAATGTG